CTATCATATATGCAACCAGTGGCACGAGGGAAAAATTAACCAAGGTTGCAACATGTCAAGTGGGGATTCGTTAGTGGAGAACAATGCGAGTGGGGTGTATAACAGCGAAGGTGGGGACAAAGAGAAATGGGAGTACACGAATCACACCTTCGATTACAGCAGGAGTGGAAGTCGAAGTGGAACCCCAAATGGCAGCCGAGATGGCAACCAAAGTCCCTCTAGCAACGGAGGCCCCGCTAGAAGCGATAGCCAAGTTTGCAACTCCAGCTATGAGAGGGGAGCAGACAAGGGGAACTTTCGACATACGCATGAAAGGAAGTGCAGCAAAAGTAAGACGGTTCATAAATACGAAGGAGACAAACCAATTTTTTATAAGAATGAAAACAGGTACATGATTCAGTGCATAAATGGAGTAAACGATGATATAAATTATGAAACGTCAATAATGCTAGACGAGACAACAATTAATACACATCGTCTGGGGGACACACTGACACTTGACGATAGGGAGCATTTGAACGAGAGCCATGTTAACAGAATAATTCGTGTTGAGAAGGTGAAGCGGGACAAAAATTACAATCTTAACACCGCTATGACAGAGAATATGCACGACGTGGATAGAGCCAATACGCTACCAAATGGCCACGGGGTGACTGCCACAAATGTCGCCACAAATGCAACCGCAAATGACACCAGCAATTTTAGTTACCCATGTTTCAATGAATCCACGCTGAACGATTATGTGACGAATAAATCGAGACCCTCCGACACGGATGATGATAAGGAGGGGGACGAAGTTGTCGAAAGGACGGGCATAGGAAAGAACGCCTTTCTATATAATGTTCAGTTGCAAACTGGAAGGGAAGACGCTTACTGTAAAGAGCTGCCAAAAGGAGGAAAAGATAGACCGAGGAATCCATGCCGAAGCAGAAGTGAGGAAATCAGACGGTGCGATTCTGTACAGTGGGGGAGCATAAAAGAAGATGCAGAAGAAAAAAGTATAGAGAAAAAAATCAAGGAGGAAGACGACTACGAAAATGGAAAGAACATAGTAGGTAAAGAAAAAAAAGATAATCATTCTACAACGAATTGTACAAAAAACTACAAAAACGAGTTAAGAAAATATATAGAATTCAACAGCCTGACGAGAAAAAAAGTACACATGGAATTGTTTTTACATCACCAAATTAATTGCTACGATTTGTTGCTAGAAATAAGGAAAAAGATACCCATCTGGGGAGAATACGAAGCGAATTTTTTTTTTCATTGGAAAAAAATTATGACCATTTGTATCGAAGAGTTAAAAATATACATCTTGATATTTCGGTCTTTAAATATCGAAACTGTTAAGCACTTGGATTTTTTTATGCTAAAAATTATTGTAGACGAGCTAGATGAACTCAGGAAGGTACACGAGCCTAATTACAAGCCATTCATATTTACACAGGAGTGTCTAAATGATTACGAATATTCCCGTTCATTTGAAAAGAGCCCAGACATTTATGTCAATATGAATGAATTTATCCAACCCTGGTATGGGAAGAATTTTAACAACTCAATGGACATTAAGAAGTTTCTAAATTCCTTGGACATTTTGGAAAACCAGAAACATAAATCGTATATCATCCAGGCGATGGAGATCCCTACGTATATCTTTGACTTGTGTGATTTGGAGGAAGCAAAAAATGGAGTGGTCACGCCAAACGCAGGGGGACCACCAAATGCGATGCTTTCACCAAGCGTGATGGCTACAACAACTAGTGTATCCTCCCAAAATAGGGTTTCCAATTCACCGAACGATACCTCGAAGAAGGTCAAAAAGATGTGCGCGAAGAAGAAAGAAAATCACAAGGTAAAAGATTCAAACACTCCCGCAAACCCTAAGCCGAAGAAGAGAACAGGCTACTACGACCTCGAGATAGACGGGGTTGTTGCATCCTTTGAGGCCCGTAAGGGAGTTTATTATGACAAGTCGAGGAAGCTCTGGAGGGCGAACTGGAAGGAAAACGGGAAGATTCAAACGAAGGGATTTTCAGTCAATGGTAAAGGAGGCGCGTCGAGGAGAGATGAGCATAGCTATAGGAAGAGGTGCAGCCGACGAGGCGGTCAACTGAACAGAGTGGCGAACTGTACACATATGCGTGTATTTATATTTGTGTGCGTCTGTATGGATCTCTGCCGTCTAACACTGCTTCAGCGCTTCTTCATTTTTAAGCGTAACGATGCACACTTCGAGCATCTTCGGATTCGCCTCGTGTGCGCTCCAAGCCGCTATGTTTCCCCGTTCTTTCGCACATGTCTATACGCCTCCCCCTTAATACCTCCCCCTTCAGAATATAAGTCGGTTCAACTAGCTAGACAAAAGGCAATCGAGTGGAGAGAAAAAAAGGAGGCAGAACTTTTGCTATGACACGTTACGCAAACATTCCCTTCATTTTTAATAATTCATTTGCCACACATTTACCAGCTTCTCTGGCTTTGCATTTTTTTCCTCTTTTTTTTTTGGAGAGGGGTGCTGAAGGATGATTCTACTGAAAAGGGGATACAAAAGGGTTTTCTTTTAAATTTGTAGTGTGTATCATTGACATGTCAACGAAAATGTTATTTTTTCATTCTTTTTTTTTAAGTGACAAAAGAGTTTCCTTTTTATTTATGTCTCCTTCGAATTCTTTTAAGCGAGAAGTGTTTCTTCAGGGCTTCTTACGTAGGTGCTATTTGTGTTGATACCTCTTGGCGCACGCGATCGTTGCTTCTTTCTTCTTTAATGAATCAGCACCAGAGGGGGTTTTTTTGCCCCTTGGCCACCTGTACGAAATGGATCAACGCCCAAAAGTTGGATCTCCCACTCGATACCATTAAGTATGCGTGGAGAACACCCCAGACGTGTGCTCACCTGAGCATGAGTTCACATATTTCCCTATATTTCTGTGCGCACCCGTAGCTGCAATCTCGCTTTCGCTATAGTGTGCACCCTTTTGGTGACGAAGACATACGATGGAACGAACGCTGCAGCACCCCATTCTGTCATATGAGAAAGTTTTAAAAATGATTCAAGTACATTTCAGAGCGTATGCGCGATGATGAAGGGAGGGTTATTTTTTCTCACCAAATCTGCTATTATTTTATTTTTGCGTGTCCCGTCAAATGGGCATCTGTTTGGGTGTTTCATTTCTGCCCACTCGGTAAGTTCTATGTCCACGCTGGGGGGTTCTTTTTCATTTTGGCGTCTATTGTGGTTTTGACTTTAATTTTTTTTTTTGTGGGAAGCGGTAAAATGGGGCAAACGACAAAATGGAGAGACGACGAATAAGTATGGGAATGCCCTTGAGTACACCTTCGCACATACGCCTCACGTCGCTGTATGTACATTCCTATGCAGCTCTTATCCACCGCTTATCCACCGCTTATCCACTTCTGATTACACACAAGTAAACAACAGCCACCCTGGGAATGGTCCAGATACTCCGTGCCGCAAGTCACATTTGCAAAATTAAGTTACACAAAAAAAAAAAAAAAAAACACGCAATGGGTGAGCAAACCTGTCAACTGTGCACATCCGGGAAAGACGAAATGAAAGAAAAAATGTCGTTCGAAAGGGACAACATATTGGGAGACGTCACATAAGTCTGTTTCAAAAATTGCATAAATTCGTTGCTGGCGCAATTGGCCTGCCGCTTTGCACAAAGATATAGCGAAAGAGTCCGGTTTAAGAACTCCGCTACAGTCTTCATGTCACCCTCCAGGAGACCCATGCTCGTCAAATAATTTGTTCCAACATTAAAAGATTTCTGGGCATACTTAAATGGATTAAGGATGTCAAAAAAAATGTTTAATTCTTTGCAGAATTGGTGAAATTCGTACACGTTAAAAGGGGAAATTGTGCAATTTAAATTTAGGAAGTTACTATTTTGCGTATATTGTATGTTAAAAAAATCCTTATTTAAGTGGGACAAAAGTGCACGCGTGTTTTCTTTGGACTGAATTACGTACTCCTTAAATTCGGCATTTTTCATCATTCTGAACGACGTCATAAAGGAAAAAATTGTGTTATTTACCCGAATGGGGAGAAAATGATTTTTCAGTTTTTTTTCATACTCATAATGGATTAATTTTCCCTCCGTGTCCATCTGCTTATACCCCTTTTTGTAAAAAATAACATGGCAGTTATGTGCTCTCATATTTTCGTTAAAGTAGGTATACACAACATCGCAATTCTTAAAAGGAGAGGGAATAAAATCGTGCGAAATTAAACTACCCTTATTGCTAATATTTGTAATGACTACACATTTGTTTATGTCTTTCAAGCTGCTGAAAAAATCGTAATTAAAATTGTGAGGGTTGTTCGTTTCGTCCACGTGTACCAAATGAGGGTTAAACGCGTCATATATTTTATGTATCTGCTCATAATCAACTTTGTCCTTAATTTTTACATTAACGCAGTCGTAATAGTTTTCTGTGAGAGGGTTATTTGCTTCTTCCCCCTCCTCTGATAAGGCAAAACTTATGTTCATTACTCTACCTTTGCAATTTTTGCAATTAGTAAGACTCCGAAATAAAGTGAAAGTGAAGGGATTATCCACTTCTCCGGGGGGGTAATCAACAGTGCTGTTTACGCCGAATGTACATCCCCAATATTTTGGCTCCAAGTGGAACGAACTTAATGCCATGTCTTCAATCATCCTTAAATGTCTCACATCGAAGGAAAGGCTTTTATTCAAGTCGAGTGAAAAATATTCCCGTAAATATTTCGGGATGATATTGTTACTTACGGATAAGTTTAGACAGTTCCCATTTTTGTAATGCGACGCAAGCAAATTGAAAGCTTCATCATCCACACTTTTTAAGCTCCCTTGGTTTCGCAGGGAGTGGCAGGTAATGTATCTTTTCCCCTCGACGGGCGAGAAGCCACGCAAATATCGTGCAACAAGGCCCAGCGGTATTCGGGGGTGGAATGAAGCCATTATCACTGTTCTTTTCACACTGGTAAGATCAGCTAGCCAGTGCCACTTCGGCTGCCGCGGGAGTGACAGTGTACGTAATTGTGCCTAGTTGAGTTTACGTATCCCTCCATGAGCCCAATTCGTGGATCCCCCCTGGCTACTGCGCACCAGTCAATTCATATAGAAATATTCGCACCAACGCTGCATCTGCAAAACGCTTAGAAGATGGTTGCATGTAACTTCGCTGTAGGAAAGGAGGGCGTTCATCTGAGGGGTCTCGCCGCGTTTCCCCTAGCTCACTGGAAAGGATAAGTGTTGTGGGGGAAAACTAGGCATCCCAAGAAGGCTTCTCAAAATGGTCTCTCAAAATGGTCGCTCAAAATGGTTGCTCAAACTGGCCGCTCAAAATGAACGCTAAAAAATCCAGCCTGCCACTCGCGTGCTAATTTCTGCCCTTCGCTGGACCCCAACCGCGTAACCACTCTTGCACGGTAAGCACACACTTAGGAGAGCCTCCTCGCTGATGTGCACCGCGTGAATGGTAGAACGGATCCGTTTGGTTTCTCTCCAAGATAAAACAACATCTTTCATGAAAAAATTTTTAAGGACTTTCCTGACTCTTCCTTGGCACAAATGGGGCAGGGAAAAAAAAAACATTTCATCCTTCGCCGTGAGGTCGTAGCAGCATAGGTTCTTCTTTTTTCGCACTATCACCAAATCGTACGCAAAAAGAAAAAGAAAGTGGTGACAGGAGGTTCCCGATTTTTTTCCATGAGTAAATATTTGGAAAGCCCCTCTCCATTACTGTAAAACAACGGCAAGCGACTTTCGCGTGAACAAAAAGGGGAGAGGAACACTTGGAAGTTATCTGCGCAGTGTGTCATAGGTACACGGGGTGACATACAAGAATGTATGCACATCCACGCTGGCATTAACGCTGACACCCACGCAACGGAAACATGTGCGACCGCCTTAACCATGCCAGAGAGCTCCACGTTGAAAAGTAAAAGCAGCTTTAAATGTTAAAAAAATTGTTACTTCAGTTAATCCAACGTAGGAAGAGAAACAACTTCGTCACACAGGGGCAGAAGAGGGGCCTCATATATGTCATACGGAGGAGAAGTGTCCTCAGCCCACATGGAACACAGCAAAGAACAAGAAAAATTCACCACGGCGTGACGCTGGTAGGATATCAGAGCAGGGGAAGATGTAAAAATGACTCGTCCTACCATGTTGGCATATGTCCCAGTAGGGGAAGTAGAATGATCGCAACTGCGCAGTGCAGTCAGTCCGCAGAGCCGCTAACGCAGTTTAAAGTTTCAAATGAGGGCCCCGATGAGACGAGCTCAATTGAAAAAATTTTAGACGAAACCAACTCGATGATCTATATAAACGAAATATGCATGCAGATGGATAAGAGCATCTTAAAGTGCCAAACGTACGAAGACATTCTCTCCATACTTATAACGCACAGGGGAGCTTTATTCCTACAGAATTTGATAACGGCAATACGGATGCTAGCCGGTTTTGTTAATCAGGAGAGGAAGAAAAGCAAAAGCGAAGGCGAAAGTCATGTGAGTATACCGTTTAGGACGTACACGAATAGATTTGTAAAGGCAAAAGAAGGGGGGGAAGAAGGAACGGGGCATGTGACAGGAGAAAACCACTTAGAAGACTCACCAGACAGACGAGAAACTAGCCGTGCAAGTAAATCAGACGAACATCTACTCAGTAGGAGCAACTCTGAGCTGTGCAAAAGTAGAGATTTTTCCGGATTTGACAAAATTGAAAAAAATTTAATAGAAAGGTACCAACACATTTTCGACGTCCTAAAAAACAAGGAGTTACTAGAAAGTGAAAATTTTTTTGAGAAAAACAGAAAAGTCGAGGAAATCATAGTTCGAGATGAGCGATTTAACTTGCTCATAGATGATATATACAAAAATAGAAAGCACTTTGATGTCGTGTCCATCTGCCACATTTTGATATCCCTGAAGGAGTTAAATTACAAGCACTTCCTCCTCTTCAATTCGTTTATGAATCCTCTAAAAAATTTCGACGCGTATATTAAGGAACAGTTCCAAAATGGCAATCAAAAAATCGTGCAGATCCATTCGGTGGTCCAGTTACTACTTCAATGCTTTAACACGTACATTTGGGCTGGATACTACAACCTAGACATATATAACAGGCTGATAAACAGCGTCTTGTTAAATAATTTTATCCAATTAAGAAACGAAATTGTGCATGAACAGCTAGGAAGTTATGTCTACATGAATTATAAGTATGATGTGAACTATCCCTTGTCGAGTGACGAAATATTTTCGTCTCTCAACTTGAGTGAAAAATATTTTTCGAAAAAGAATTTTTTAACCGCCCCCCTGGGGAGGGCCCCCGAAGAGGGAATAAACTTAACGGGAAACGCACCACATCGGGGAGGTACCCCAGTTCAGAACAGGAAGGAAAGCTGCACAGAAGATAGTGTAGGAGGTACCAGCTTAGATAATGGCTTGGGATGCATGCCCCCCAGTGAATCTCCTCGCTGGGGAACCCCCCCCCAAAATGAGAGGCCTGTCTACTGCTGTCCCATTTTCCTAAACCTCGACCTCTTCCTCCAAAGCGTAGAAATTTACAAACACGTTTATGTGTACAATCCTTCCTTTTTTAAAATGAGCGAGAAAGTTATTTATTACTACACGCAATATCTGACACCCACCAATTTCAGCATGATAGCTGATGCGTTTTCCAAGAATCGAATTTTTGCACTAGAACATGATCGATTTTTTTTCCACCTTTCCAAGCTGATGGAGAAAAATTTTGATAAATTTTCCTACAAAGATATTTTCCTCATTTTAAATTCATTCAAAAGGATGAATTTATTGTTCCAAAGCTGTATCATCTTCGCGGCAGAAAAGTTTGAGCCATATTTTAACCAGCTTTATATTAACAGAAGGGAGTGCTCCTTAACCCTAAAAGAGGTGTCCATTTTAATGGAGTCTTTGGCCTTTTTCCACTTCCCCCACAAGGGAATCGATCAGTGCATCACAGCAGTTGTGAACTATCTGGAAGATTACATTGAAGAGATCGACGAAGAGACAGCAATTAATATTTCTTACGCGTTAGTTCTATCGAATCTGTATCATGTCAATACGTATTTCTTCTCATTTGTTTGGAGAAAAATTGGAAAAAGTACATACTGGGAAAAAAAGAAAAATCAAGTCTGCCTGCTGTGGTTATCTCATATGATCCAGTTCAAATGGATGGAGTATGATTTACCTAAATTCTGCGTCTTGGAATGTTTGAAAATCTTCTTTTTAAAAAGAAAGGAGAATATGTTTTCCTTCTCCAAAATTCTCTCTTCCGTTTCCCAAATCCTCGATGAGTTCAAAATTGGACACGACGTTTCAGTTGATATTTATTGCCCCTATGTGCTGGACATTTTAATAAGGGGAGACAAAAGGCAAGTTATCATGCTCACGCAGGATACCACAAGAAATGAAATAATCAGACAACTCGGCGATTCCAAAATCGTCATTGGCCATTTGCAACTGTTTGGCTATAATGTGCGCCCCCTCAACACGAAATATTTCGACGCATTGAGCGACAGGGAGAAGCGCGAATACGTCCGGGGCATTCTGTTATCCTTTTAGAGGCGCGCTCAGGGAAAGAAGTGGTGAACATCGGGGGGTGGGGGAAAATGAAAACACAGAAAAAGTAACATTCGAGTGGGAAAATAAAATTTGTGCAAGAAACCCGGCCGCTTTGGTGCGTGCTCGACCGATGCGGCTTAAAAAGAAGCGCTCACATTGGTCCAAATTCGTGTGTGTGCGGGGTGGGTGGCAAGTTCAGACAGAACCCCGCTGCAGCTGATGATGTTGCTACTGCCCCCCCTCGCGTGAACCTCTGTTGGCTCAATTTTACTGGCCCCCCCTTGCACACCTTCTGTAGTGCCGATCCATGTCGACCACCCGTTGGGCCAGGAGGCGTAAAAAAGACAGAATCACTTCCATTTTTCTGTGAAACAAAAACGTCCGTCTCAACACTGTCAGGTGGTAGAAGTGCGGCTTGTACAGCTGCCCCAGCGAATTATAGCCTATGCCTTTCAGAAGGCGATATTCACTTAAGTTGATGTACCCTCCCTTCTTTTCGAACAGGCCGCCATTATGGCAGAGGTAACACGGACCATTTCTTTCATCGTAGCGTAGGTGCAAATTGTCACTTCCCCCGGCAACTTCGTTCATCAATATGGCGAGGTTAAAATCGTAAGTTTCGAAATAGTTAGTTGCTTCTTCTGTGATATTTAGGAGGAGGGAAAATAAGCTCTTTTTATTGGCGTGTACATGGCTAATGATCATATTAAAGTTTCCATCTTTGAGTATTTTCCTGCTTAAGCGATCGAAATTGGGGCAACCCCATGGGTAGAAACAAATGGGCACACATAAAAAGGTGTAGAAATATACGTACAAGACGATGCACTCAATTCGCTCGCAATCCTTCCCAAGCTGTGAAAACAAATGCAGCAGTTTTATCAGTCTATTCAGCATACTGTCGAGGGACACATTTTTGTACTTTCTTGACATGCACTCATTCACGTATTGCAATTTTATAAACCCTCTGACCAAATTGTAGTTTAGATTTATGTTTACGAAAAATTGGCGAGTGTACTTTTGGTAGCATTTGCCATACAGATAAAAAAAATATTCATACACTTGGTGGGCTTCGTTCAAAATGTGAAATAGGTAGAGGTGTTCATGTTTTCTGATGCTTCTTACCTTGGTCAATGGTGTGGTGTTGTTGTTGCCCTGGTCATTTGTTCCTTCGTTTCTGAGGTTCACCCCCGCTTTGCCACTCGCGCTCTTTGCTACCCCCCTGTTGCTATTCAGGGCATGCATAAGAAGCAGCGTCTCGTAGACGCCCCTTTTTTCCCCATTGAAATAACTGTGTGTGTTTGATACGCCGAAGTGGTAACTACGAGGGAGGTACTCCACTCTGTGCTTCAAATTATACACTTCACTTAACGCCCTGATTACTAACACTCGAGGGTCGGGGAATCTCACAATTTTGCAGTAATAATTTCTACGCCTTTTTTCCTTTCTATGTGTATCATAAATATCGTCATATATTACATATATTTTGCCATTTTTGAAATTTGTTTCTTCCGTGTGCTTCCTTTCATTTTTCATTTTAGGAAGTTTCCTCACAAAGGTGGCAACTGGACTGAGGGGTTGCAATTGCTACGTTTACTATGTCGGTTTTTTCTTTTTTTTTCCTGTTCATTCTTCCCGAAAGGGGTTGGAAAAATGTTGCATGGTCATTTGGTTGGGACATCTCACGTGAATAAGTATACACAAACATGTGTTCCTATATGTACAGCACTTATGTAGGCATCTCTGCCTACCCAAAGCTGCTACAGAAGCTTTATTTTAACCGTGATGTTAGTGGCGCTCACTGGCTCGGTTGATTAGCATTTGGCGCTGCTAAGCAGTTGGCCGTTTGCTTAAGTTTGTGGGCATTTATAACTTTACGTAGGGGCACTCAACGCGCGCTGCGGGGGAAGAAACGCCACTCCCAGTCGCTTTCAGAAAGAGCTCACCCTACATATAGGCAAATATATATATATACTACTCATCACATATATCTATGTGTGACCGACGCCGCGGTGAGGTTACCCTCGTTTTCACTCTTACAGCGCGTGAATTATTATATACCATTTTTTATGACCAGTTCAAGCGAAAAAAAAGAAAGCGACAAATAGCTAACCATGCAGAAAGGGAGGAGGATTTACATATCGATACGCACAATTACGTACGTTTCCAGTATAGTAAAAAAAAAGTATAAAAACAGGGTTAACAGCGAGTATATAAAAATGAACAAAATTTCGATGAAACTTTGAAGTTGATGTAAACACGAGTGGCGTTTTCTGAAATGAAGACTGTAATGACTGAATTATTAAAAAAAAAAAAACACACAAAAAAAAAAGGGGAATATTTTTCAAATGAGAAGGACGATAAAGAAATGGAATGTTCTCCTCCTACATGGGGAGGGAAAAATAGATTTGCCTCTCCTCACGTATCATTCTTTGAAGCGATTTCCAGTGATTGTAAAAGGTCTCACTTTTTAATGCATATTATAAAACTTAGAAAGCGATCTGTGTCTTTTTTCCTTTTTGTGCTCCTTCTGTTGGCCGTTGGGAACATTATGTATAAATGGATGTCCTTTTATTTTTATGTTCAGGTTCGTTTCGTAACCCAACAAATTGTTATCATTCAGGTAGTTCAATTTTTCTACATAATTTTTTTGACAGTGCTCACTTAGTTTTCGAAAGCCCCCTCCGGTCCTGAGAATGAGCTTAATATCCGACGGGGAAGAGCTCGCATTGCTATTTTCGATAAAGTCCCGTCTGTTGCTCGTCGCGTGGTGCGTACTGTGCGCGTCCTTGGCCTCTCTTCCGTCGCTTTTGGGGTCACGTTTGGAGTCATGCTTGGAGTCATGCTTGGAGTCTCGTCTGGACTCGCGTCTGGCTCTACCTCTGGAATCCCCCCTGCCGCCACGCTTGGTTTCCCCCTTGCTGCTGCACTCGGCGCTGTATTGGCCCCCTCGGATGCCGCTTCCTATGCTGCTGCCGTGACCACCGCCGAGACCGCTGGCATCATTCTTCAGATGGGAACTACTGCGAGCGCTGCTTTTGGACTGCCTCTGGTAAAGGTAACTCTCGTCAACACTTGTCACATCCATCGAATTACTGTGGGAATATTTATCGTTATTTAGGTTCCACTTTTCCATATTTTCATAGCTCTTCTTGTGTGTATGGTTATCATATTTCTTTTGGTGATTATCAGCATATTCACTCATTTTTTGGAACTGCTCACTTTGCTTCCTCAATCCCTTTGCCCTGTTCAACTCATCAGTGTTTGTATTTCTCGACTTGTTTTTATTTATTAAATATTCACTTAACGTTCTTTCGGAGGGAAGGTTTAACGAACTGTTGGCTACCGAGAGGTTACAATACAGATCGGAGTGTTTTTTATTTGAGTGATTTTTATAATTTAGAGAAGACTTATCATATGGGACATTTTTGTGCATGTCGTCATTGGTCATCATTTTGTTTTGCTTGTCCAATGTGTCCCTGATGTCATTAATTTTATTATTCATTTTTTTTATTGTTTGCTGTATCATTTCTACGCTTTTCCTGTCCGCCTTATCCTTCATTTGGCGGGCTAAATTCTCGTACATTTTTTCAGCGTGGCGGTTCGGCTCCCTGCTGGGATATTCTTGTGGCTCGTTGCTTGACTCGCGCAGGTTGTTCTTCTGGTAAGAGGAGTTCCTATCGTGAGCTGCGTTTCTATCATCAGCGGCGTTCCTATCGTATGAGCCATTCGCGCCGATGCGGCTGCCAATTCGACTGCCGATCCGACTGCCGCTGCGGCCATGGTTGCCGCCACCCCCCTCGCAATCCTCGCTATCGTTTCCAAACCGTTGGGTGCCCCTCTTCCCGGATGAGAAATCCCCAGACTGGTCATACAAGTTTGTCTCTACATCATTTTTTTGCGTGGCAGAGCTATTTTCCTTCTTGTAAAAAAGCGTCGATTCGCTTCGCTTCCTTGATATGCTATTAAGACGGTCATAACTAACGGGAGACATGTTATCACCGTCTCGGTTTTTGTCGCTGTTCACTAGGTTGGAGAACATGCTGCTTTTGTTTCTCTCCTGCGGCGTGCTGCGCAAGGTATTTCGACTGTTTAGGTGATTACCGATGTTGTAGTTATTATCGCTGTTTTGTTGGTTACCGCTGCTGTAGTGATTGTCGCTGTTTTGGTGGTTAGCACTGCTGTAGTGATTGTCGCTGCTGTAGGGATTGCCGCTGTCATTGGTATTTCCGTTATAATCATAGCCCTGCCCTGCTTTGCTCGGGACGCGCCTTTGCGAACTGCCGTGGCCAACGTTCCCATGCAGCTGGAAATCGACCAGGCCCGTAACCTTATCAATTAAATGTCCTTCGAAGGAATTGCTCTTTAACTTTCTGAAGCAAAAGAATAATAGACACTGCAGCTTTTTCCCAAGGCTTGATATCATTTGGTTCGTCGCTTCTTTCCTCTTTCTAGTTGTATTCAACCAGAAAAGAAAAAAATATTTCTGAGTTTTACACCTTTTATCTCGTAAGAGAAATTTTAAAATGACATAGAGAATTTTTTCGTGCACATTTTGGATATCCTTTCTATACATATTTCTCTCTTCCTTAATTTTTATTTTCAACTCTTGTTGTTCTTTGAGGGAACTCATATTATCGACCATTTCCTTTTTCAGTTCTTCACTTGTTAGGGTTAGTTTCCTTTCTAGTTTTATGAATTCATCTTTGCTTCCGATGTACTTTTTTAACTCCTCGATTTTTTTATTCCACTCACTGGAGTTTTTGTTGTAGTATCCTATTTCTTCCCAGAGGTAAGTCACTATTTTGCTTATCACGTCGATGTTGTTTTTGTCTTTCAGAAGTTCCTCCTCTGAAAAAGTGGGGAGAAAAGGGGACCGCCATTTGGGGTGTGTGTGTGTGTGGGGGGGGGGTATCCCCAAAAAAATGTTTGCACACACAGGTCTATTCGCAAACGTGGTACTTACATAGAAATTGTTCAACTTTTTTCTGCCTAGTGAAGATGCCTATTCGATGAAGAACCGCTTCATTTAAGCGAGTGTATGATCGTTTCTACGGTGTGAGGAACAGTAGGTGCAGGTTTTCATGGTACTACGTTGCATAGGTTTGGGCTTCGCCTTCTCGCCTTGGTATGACCCTTTCTTTGCAGAGTGTCTGCTGTTAGTTAGTCATAATCTATTGTGCTTATGAATATCACTTATGAGTGTCACCTCTCTTCCGCTTTACCTAGATTCTCGAACTCCTCGAAGGAATCCCCACTGAGTTTGGCCTTTATCCTTTTCACGCATTCTTTGGTGTCGATGAGGATACCGCTGTACTCGTCATTTTTGGCTAGCAGGTATTTAATTTCCTTCCCAAATTTTTTAATTAGGGAAAATAACTGATCGTACTTTTTTCTTATGTCCTTCTGGTTGTTGGTTATGCTGGTAAAGAACTCGAAGACCTCATTTGTGTTGTTAATGGAATTTTGCTTGTCATAATTATCTTTGCTGTAATTGCTCAGGTCTAGGTAGGATTTGTTGAAGCTTTGAATTTCCTTGAATGTGGAAGAGGTTCCGCTGCGTTTTCTTTTGTCCATTTTGTGATGCAAAAGAGGAGTTCCAAATGGGGAGGCAAATCCGTTTCAGCAACAAAGACACACAAATGAGGGCTTGTGTGTGCAGACGTCTATGTTCGTGTATCTACGCCTTTGTACATTTGCAGTTTAGCCCATTTGCACTTTCGCACATTAGGACTTTTGCATATTTACACTTTCGAACATTTGCACTTTTGCAGATTTACACACTTGCGTGTTCACATGTTTATACAAACGTGTGTCAAAACAAAAACAAATGTGAAGGACCGAAGAGCGCCTCTTCGAGTCTTCCCTTTTGCATTTTCTTTCTTCTTTTTTTTTATTTTTTTTTTTTTTCCACAACGGCGAAATGTTAAGGCCGTGAGGAAAGGGTGACCATAACGCTGCTACGAAATATATGAACCCTCCCGGTGGTTTCTCACCATACTAACGTTAAAAGATTTTTAAGTAAATTAACACGGCGGGGAGGGGGGAAATGCCTCTTTTAAAATGGTACATTATTACATGCATGAAAAAATAATTTTTTTTTTTGAATAGACGAGAAAAAGTGAATCATCTTGAGCATACACGTTAAATTTTTTTTTTTTTTTCCCTAATGTCTTTTTTTTCGTTTTTACGGTGTAGGGTCAGCCCTGAGGAGGTGCTCCAATATACACTCCAGTGTTCTTTCCAGCATGAACCCTAGCGTTCACTCTGGTATGCACCCCTGTATGTGCCCTCAGTTCATATATACACTGAAGCATGTATGCACTCTTCGAACGAGGGTGTTTCACCCACGAGTTAAGCACGCTTCAAATCTGAAACCCTCCTTTGACGTGCTCCCAAAATTAGGGCAAATGCTCCTTTGTCTGAAATGCCTTATCCGCAATTAGCCCTCTTGGAGTGCAGCATACGGAGGGTTCTTTTTGTAAAACGGGGTCCCTTCGGAAATCCGAACTGTGCCGGGGAACCTTGTCCTTGGAGGACCTTGAACATGCCAATGCGCACGAATTAAAAATAAAATAAAATAAATAAATAGATAAACCTTTACAGTGAACAATGTATGTACACATTAAACAGCAGTGTGATATGATAGAGTGCGTTGCGTATCACAATATTTGCCCAGAGTGAAAAAAAAAATGAGCACATATATAGATGTGCATGTTATCCATTCGGATCTAAACTGCTTCGTTAAGTGAAAAATTGTTCTACCTTTTTTGTTCATAAATGTCGCGATCCACGGAAAAGGAAAAGAAAAAATTAAAAAATAAAATAATGCGCATGACAAATGTACGAAACTACCCTTGGGACAACAGAAATGTGCAGTTTATGTCATATTGTGCTTATAAACTTTCACATTTCAGTTGATTCTTTTTCCCCTTTTGAAAAAAAGCTCACCGCGCTCAACTGTGTGCTGCCATTTTAAATGTTAATCAGTTCGATGACTAGTTCTACTATTTGAATTGAACATTACACGATAGATAATGATGCACTAATAACAGTGTGGGAAAAAAAAGAAACCCATCACGCTTTAACACACTTAAACGGTAATCATCATGAGCACATGTTTGCAACCTCTTTTCACAGCGCAGTCAAATTTTATATGCCAGCTCGTGAAATTTCACACTACCCTTTTACACCATTTTTTTGTGCTCATAAAATTCAAAGGGAGGATTTTACCTATTCCATGCTGCTTTTTTTTTTTTTTAAAGAGAAACGAACGCAAGAAATAATTTCTCGTTTTCATTTTGCACAGCATAGGCATACTTTATTACTCGCTCAGCTCCTCTTATTATTTTATTTTTTTATATTTTTCTTTTTTTGTTTTTTTTTTTTCCACCGCGCGGTATCATTTACTATAAGTAGGAGTTCCAAAAAAGGGCTATAAAAAGGCAGCGATAAGATAAGCAACGAATGATTGACAGACTGACTGCCATTAGGGGGGTCCAATTCGCTAGTAGAAGCACATCGGGAAGTGGGTGTTGAGGCTCCGAGAAAGGAACCCAAATGCTCAGTTGTTAAATGTCACCAAGGGGTGTGAAAGGGCACCGTCAATGAGGCCTCTCGTTAAGCATTTTCCCCCAAAAAAGGCAAACACATTCATACATGCGCGCATGCATGTACCTATATACGTGTGTGCATACACCTACGCGAACGTATAGACGCCTCCACAGGTAACTTCATTATGGACGGAAAGATGGCCCTGAGGAGGTCATCCAGACTAAGCCAAAATGTTGAACTGGGCAAAAGTGTGAGCTACGCCCTGGCTGAAAAGACGGACGACGAGGATGACAATTCAGGTGATAAAGTTAGGGACAGGGGAACGAAGAAGGATGTGAAACGTGCTAGCGGGGGAGTAGCAAGCACCGATGATGACAACACCACTGAGGACAGTGACTACAGAGTAAGTGAGAATGAGAAGCAGGGGAGCTCCGAAGAGGAGGAAGAAGACAGTGAGGATCAGCAAGATCATATAAGTGAAGATTCCACGGGCGGTAAAAGAAAGAAAGGGAAGAATACTCGCAAAAGTAGGGACGAACAAAACACACGCAAGAGCATCCGTAACAGCCGCGACAGTGACGAATCATCATCAATGGGAGCCAAAAGGAAAAGAAGCAAGTCCGCCAGGAAAGGCAAGCCCAGCAAGCAAAACAAACGGGGAAGTATCGAACAGAGTATGGTTCCGCACGAAGAATACGCCAACGAGAAAGGCAACAATTCTTCAGATGAAAACTCAAACAATGTGAACAAAAACAACAAGCAGAAGAAGCCAAAGGGTAAAAGCTACATAGAAAGACTACAGGAAGATGTGGACGACGACGATTTTGATATTTTTAAAAAGAACAGCAAATTTGACAAAAATAAAAGAATATCCACCATAAGCAAGGTTAGCAGCGCGTTAGACATGAAACCGCAGAAGAGGAAAAGCATTTACGTGGAATCCAGTAACAGTGAAGATTCAAGCGAAAGCGATTATGAGTACACCACTGAAAAGACGAGACCTGCGAAAAAATTAAAAAATAACAACAACAATGGTAGTAATGATAATAGTAATGATAACATTAATAATAACAGCAATAATAGTAACAAACAGAACGACAAGGAACGACGTGGGCTAAACAACATAAACGCAAATGCTCATAAAAATTTTGATGACTTTAATATGTACGAAAAAATTAAAAAGGGCCCCAGAAATCTACACGAGATTATAGAACAAATTTATTACTACTTGTTTCATCGGGAAAATAACGAAATGGTTAAGGTGTCCACTTTTTTTTTAAATTTCCTGGCTGAATGCTCAGGCAATGAAACGCTCACGTGGACGATTGACATAATTGATTATATAGACAAGCAAGTATACCTCTACGAAGAAATCGCAAATAACAAAATTGACCTTCCGTCGACTGCTTCGAACAGGGCCAGAGCGGCTCCCACGTCGATAACCGAAATTATCACGCCATCAACAGCGCAATCAGGTAGCAAAATTATCAACATAGATGAAATCATAAAAGACGAAACCAACTTTGAAAAGATATGCACATTTAAGTGTAAAAAATTGGAACAGTATTTATCCCCCGATCTCGACAATGACGTTTTGATAAAAAAGAAAAATGAGAATAATAAATCATATAAGTGCTTTACCAGTTTCTTCTCCGATTTTGCTTACCATTTTGATGAGAATTACATCCACGAGGTGTTGTACGTGTGCATATGGATATTCTCCCTCAGCATAAGCAAGTACCGGAAGATACGATTTACTGCTTCTTTAGCTAGTCACTCCATATTACTAGGACTGTGCAAAAAAATAAACTATATTAACAATCATGAGAAGCAGGCGGGGAAGCAGCTACTCGCGGAGTACGCCCGGGAGAGGGAAAATACCCACAAAGGGAACGGTCAGCGGAGGGGCAGCGCTATGGGCAGGAGCAGTAGAAACAGTGCCCACACCTCGAAGACGGGGAATGACCGATGGGACGACGCTGACATTGAAGAACTCATACAGTACGCCAAAATGAGGGACAACGAACAAATCCGAACCATCGTGGAAAGAAATTTAATCATCAGCCAACTCATCGATAACATAAACGAGGACAGAAAAAATTTGACCATCTTGAATAACTTCCTTCTATGCACATATAACATAATATACCGGAACAAGATAAAAGACGTGTTTGCGGATATAAGGGCAATAGCTCTGGAGTTTTTCCTCCACTACGTACAGGTGCTAAGCAGCTACTTTACCAACAGGAAGTACACCAAACTTCTCATTTGGATTTTGTACGATAAAGATAGCAAGGTTAAGACATACGCACTGGATATTTTAATATATCTCTGCACTTTGTACAACACGAATGGGAATTTCAAAATTGTGGAGCTGCTCTACATGTGTAAGAAAAAATTGCTGAATTTTATTTTCGATGATGATTACAATGTTCGAGTGAAGACATTTGAGTTGATTCTCCAGATGAGCAAAATGAAAATTAGCAAGGCCGATTTTATAGCGTTTAAAAGAAGCGCCAAGAATAGCCCCATCGCGCTTACTAACAAGAGAAAGGAGACAACTTCCGATGTCTCTTCCCAATATGAAAGCCCCGAGTACGAAGAAAAGGACACCTCTTCCGATGTGGAGGTCCTTGCAAATAATGAGCTATCCATAGTGCAGGCTGACAAACAGAGAAAGAAAAAAAATCCCACAACAAGCGACATGGTTAATATTCTCTCAAAGAAGGAAAAGAAAATTGTTAGCAACTTAATATGGTTTAACAATAATAGTAAAATATCGAAGATGATCACGTGTCTTATTTACGAGTCACAAATAAAAAACAAAATAAAAATATGCGATCGGAAGAGGAACAACTATTTTGACGTAGAACAAAATGACGCCAACTGTGAAATTGTAAAGTTTAATCTCATTTTTTTGACAAAATACCTGAACAGAAACATCCCGACTGTTAAAAATTTCGTCCATTATTTTGATTACCTGGCCAACTACAATGAGAACATGAAACTGTACACAGTGATTGACAGATTTGTTAGCGGGATTAGAGAAATGCTAGATGCGGTGAATTGCATCGATGTAATGATTGAATTGCTTTGCAAGGATGACATTGCTCAGGAGACACACTGGGAGAGAGCTGCGGAAACGGTTAGGGATAAGAACGAGCTGGAAGGAAGTGGCAGTGGGGACTGCAACGTGGCGGAGGGCGGCGCGGAGAGGGGGAAGAAGAATGGAAAGGGAGCCAAAAAGGAGAGCAACAAGGCTAAGGAGAGGCCGAAAAGAAAGGGTGGAAGTGGAAGTGAAAGTGGAAGCGAACATGGAAATGAAAGTGGAAGCGAACATGGAAATGAACGTGGAAATGAACGTGGAAATGAACGTGGAAGCGAACGTAGCAACGGTGAGGGAAACGAACTCGAGGTGGAGGGAGGAAAAGCCAGCGCGGAGCGAGACCTCAGGAAGTGCCTACTGTACATCTGCGAATCGGCGTACAGAAATTTCCAAAACGATATAAACGAAATGGAAAAGAAGAAAAATAGGAAGACGCTCCCTCAAGTTAGCGGCGCGAACGCAGTAGATAGGAACAGCATGCACAACGCGAAGCTGAATAGTGATACGAGAAAAATTAAAAAGATGATCATCTACACATTCGGAATAATCAAGCACAGTAAGTTGCTGATAAAACTGCACCAAACGAATCAGGAACATTTGTTGTTAGTTTTTAAAATTTTGAAGGTGGCAATACAAGAGTGCAAACACATATACAGAAATGGAGAAAAGAATAATATCTACAATTTCACATCAACCATAATGGAATATTTTAAAAACGACATTGACAGCAACATCAATTTTTTCTTTAACAACATTTTTGTACATTTAAAGGAGACCTACGAGTATCTCTACTACTTAATAAAAAATTTGAAGCTGCCATATTACTCTGCCAAGTTTACCATGAATATGATTTCCCTCTTTCTGTCCTTGAATGATTTCCTTAAGGGGAAGGATCCTACCAGCGGGGGAAGTGGCAGCCAGAAGTTATCCACCGATATATTCTTTGACCTTTACTACACACACTTTAGCAACTTCCTAGATGCCTTTTTATACTACCGAAAGAACTACAACGCGGAAATTGAGTGCGAAGAGGAAGAGGAGGAATACATACAGAATGAACGTAAGAAAGTTGTTATCATTAATGAAAATTTAATGCACAAAGACAGGAATGTTGTGGATTCCATAGAAAACGACTTAGTCTCCAATCTTACAAATTTGATTCATATGTATACTCTCTGCTTCAGCTACATAAACAATGATTTGTCCAGTTACGTGGAAAAAAAAAATGACATCAAGAAGATTAATAAGAGCATTAAGAAGGTTATCGAGAAGGACTACTTTCAATTTATTGTAAATGAAAAATGTCAGGCGTACTTTAAGGAGAATATTTTCGTGAACGAAATTTTGGATGACCACCTTCTGCAGTTCGGCATTGAGCATTTTGATGAGGACTACGACAGTGGTGACGACCGCTATGACAATCGCGATGACGACAATGAGGAGGAAGGGGGCAGCCAGGAGGAAGACAACGAACCGCACAGTGACCAGCTCGACCAACGAGATGAGGAGCACACCACTCGAGCCGCCAACCGAAGGAGGAACAAACAGGGCAATCGAAAAAAAGGAAAAAATAACAAATCGAACGCGAAAAAAAACGTGTACGACAACTATATGAGCCGAAGTGGCACTCTCAACAATCAGAGGATAAATAATAAAGCGGCATTTGATAAGGACGGACATTTTTCAAACCACCAGGGACAAAATTTTTACAATTTATACTACAGCTCAGATGCCTGCATGCATGCAAATGTAGTCATTCAGCTGTGCTTTTACATAATAAAGGCAAAAATCAATTCTGCGTACTACTATGAAGAGGAGGATAGTACCCCGAAAACACCCTCATCCAGGCTGCTCCTACTCTGCATAGACCTCATATACGTCATATATGAAAATTACATATACTACCTATGCAGGAAGAGATACTTTTTCAACTACCTATATAGTAACTTCTTCTTGAACAACGACTCCGGGGTTGTAGCTAACGTAGGGGGAAATAGAAACGTAAAAAAGGAAATGAGCAAAAAGAATAACCCAAATAGGACAAGCGTGGCCAATGAAAAAGATATAAATGTGGAAGAAAAAGAATCCAAAGGGGAAAACAAAAATGATACCCCTAGCAGCAGCATCAATATGGACGATTTAAGAAAGTTGCTTACCCTTAGTGAGAAAAAAAAAAATATTTTAAAAAACGTATTCGTGGAACTGAATTATATATACAACAATTTGCTAACCCTGAGAGACGACTTGAATGACGTGTTGGTGTGCCTCATCAAGGCATCCAACAACACGATCCTGAAATATGGAGCCTTCTTAAATCTGATGAACGTCGCGCAGCTGGAAAATGTGCTCCTCTACTCTGTGGAGGATATGAGAAAGTACAAAACGTTGGAGCTCTTTATAAACGCGTGTTGTGGGGAAGAAGGCCAGATGGACCACAGTGGTGTAACCAATCTGCAGCAGTTGCTAACTTTGGACGGAAGCGGCAAGACGGAGGGTTCAGCTAACCACACAAGAGATAGCGGCAGACACGTGGAGAAGATGGACGAACTGGTGCAAGTCTACCATGATGCAGACGAACAAATCAACAAATACAAAAGCGTGGCGAGGTATGTGTACAAGGAAGATAACGTGCTGTTCAATTTCGTAACGGACTTATTCAAAAATGTGGAAAATATAAACAACGACAATTACAATTTTGTGAACTCCTTCTTGTCAATCGACATAGGTGTATTTTTCCCCATAAACACATACACCTACATTGCCGACATGTGCAAAATATACAACAAGGACCAACTCAGCACGGATGATAAAATTTTAGAAATGCAGTATACTCACATGACGCTAATAATAGCTCAGTTTATTTTACATTGCAACAATATAAATATATTTAATAGCTGCCTCGGAGTCCTTCTATTAATCCATTTGAATGTAAAGAATCGAGGACTGTCCTCCATCGCGTTAAGTTTTCACAACAAATTAAAAAAGTACAGTATTGATATTTTTTATGAAGTCTTACTATGCGCATTGATTGGGCTGTATACAGCATATATCAACAACGCACTGGAAGAAAAAGACCTCTTGCTGTTTAGTACCTCTATAGCTAGCCGCTTGGGCGTTAAAATTGTAGAGAGGCAGAAACTTCCCCTCTGTAAGTTTATCCACTCTTGTGTAAATTGTGCCCTGAACCTGAAAAATCAAAATTCATTTCTAAAATATATTTTTCCCTATGCTCAGAAGTTAACTCTTTCCGATTATCAAATTGGGTACCTGAAAAAGCAGATTCTGACCCTCATAGAATCATACAACGCAGCTAACAATACACAGATAAAATTTGAAAGCAGCATATTTGAACATCTGTTTCTGATAATCTGCAAGAAAAGAAAACTCAATGAAGAATTTAGGGACTCCAATTATGAAAACTCCTACATGAATCTTAACGAAAGTATCCATATGAATATAAGCAAAAATATTGCCAAACGGATCAGTAGGCGATCTGATGCACCCTCTATAAAGACGAGGAGGAGCTCTCAGGAGGTCAACCTTCACGTTAATAAGAAGGTGACTCAAAATGGGAACAATTCGGACGGAAGTCACAGCGACTCCGATTCGGATACAGATACATCCATCGTGGTTGTGTCAAAAGGCGCGGCAAAGATTCGCCAGAATGATGTAAATGAAGAAACAGATCAAAATAGGCACCCTTCTAAAATTAAGGAGGAACTAGCGGATGGAGGGGATGATTCTCGAGAGGAAGTTGCGAAGCGTAGGAATAAAGAAGGAGGAAGTGCACCAAACCTGGAGAGCACTACACCGCGGCGTGATAAGGCGGACGACTCGAATTATGAGAAGACGCCGTCCAACTCAACGCTCAGCAACTTTATCAGCCAAAATGAAGATGAGGACAACGTGTGCTTGATCGGGGAGGCCAACCTCGGCAACGCCAACCACGGCAACAGGGGAGCCCCGCGTAATGATGAGCAATACGTGTACGAAATCAATTCTAGCCCCAAACCGATAAGGACCAAAAACTTTACCAAGATCAATCTAATAAGCAACGATGGCTTAGGCTCTACCATGAATAATGACCGCGCGGACAAGTCTCCAAATGGATCTCCAAATGGAACTCCAAAACATTCGGGTGACCGGTCCCTCAACAGCTCCCTAAATAATGTCAGTGATAAGGACAATGATGATATGTCCATAATATCTGAGAAGAAGGACAAGCTGAATTATCTACAGGAAAACGATGATGATTCCTATTCGGACATGATACCAGGAATATCTCCGATGAAAGTTCGCAAGAAAAATAAAAGTGAATTGTCCACCCCCATTTCGTACGCCGACGATTTGATGAATTTTTGACAGCTATGTGTTGGTCCGTGGCGGTTGGTAGATCGCATTGCGCATCACTCTCCATTTACTTTTTTTTTTTTTTTTTTTACATCGTTTATATATCACACCAAGTAACTGCTCCCCAATGGGCTACTCGACATTTTTCAAACTGTTGCAATCTCCACTCCGTGAGCCATTCCGCCGAAACGGGCGCACCTTGCGGAGGGGAAAAAAAGAAAAATGAAGCAAAAAAAAAAAAAAAAGGAAAGAAATTCTACGTAATGACCAACCAGAGTGGTATGCCAACCCGAATGGAGAGTATCTGCCCTTTATGCTGCATGGAGGTGTCTATCCCTTTTGCGGTTGGTTGGGAATACCTCGTCCCCGTAGGGATATGCATTTGCAGGGGGTTCAAAAAAAAAAAAAAAAAATTCGGTGTATAGATACATATGCGCAAGAACATACTTCTGTACTTACGAATGTGCGATATTTACCCCCTTTGGGTTAGTACGGTCTAATCTCATAGTACTTATACGTCTTGGAGCGCATCCTCGGTGATCGTCCGTGCTTCCCTCCTCCGCCACGGCCTCTGCCAGTTCTGTAGCTGTCCAGAAAGTGGTGATCCGTGTAGGCCTTGTCAAAAGATTTGGCCTGCTTCAACTTATCCACAAAGGCCTTCCTCAATAATTTATTTTTATTATACCACAAATTGAGACTGCTAACTTCTGTGTTAATAGAAAATTGCTGTCTCTGCGGGTGCAAATATTTTTCATTCGGCAAGTAGTACGGAGAAAATTGAGCAGATTGTTTCTCCTTATAAAGTTCGTGGAGTCTTTTCTTTCGCAGGTGCTGATAAATAGCGTAGTAAAAATCACTTTGTTGAAATTTGCTCATAAAAATTTTCCAGGGAAGAGAAAAAGATCGAACATTAGGATGGGACATATAAAAATACATAACACTTTTTAATTTTTCTCCAAAGTTTGATCGAAGTTCCTCTGGAGGTGTTCTTAAAATATAGTTATCAAATCCGCCCGCGTCATCCATAGCATGTAGTGCACTGGTTGTAACTTTAACATTTGGGATTATCGTGTTTAATATATTACTAACTATGTGTTTTTTAAAAACGTTTGGCTTTAACTTAATTCTGGTCTTCTTTAACGAGTAGGATACCTTTGTGTAGTAGTTATAATCCTCATCGTGGTACAGACCTGTCTGTGACGCTGCTGATGGGACTCTCCCATAGGCCTTCACCGGCACTGGGTGAATTACCTGCTTCTTTTTGAAGCCCTTCTTGTGACTTTTCCCAAGCCTTCTTAAATATTTCCCGAATAGGTTTAAATTTTTTGGCATGTTGTCCTGTGTAGAAGTGTTTCCACAGGAGTGTGCAGCGTGGCGAGATGTTCTTCAGCCTCTTGAACGGACACCTTGGTCGTTATATTTCACTATGCTTCGCTCTACTTGGCGTGAGTTTGCTTTCCCCCTTCTTTGGCTCAACATCCTGCGAATGTGTAACTTTTTTTCTGTTTTTTCCGTTTTTTTTTGTTTTTTTCTATTTCTTTTGCTTTTTTCCCCTCCGTTTTGTCATCCAATCTATGTAGTTCTCTAGGTATGTATTTTTTCTTTCCCTAATTTGACATATACATGTGGTCGCTCACGTGGGTGAAAAAAGCAGGGCCATTGCCCCATGTGGTGGTCCCCTCGAATTTTCAGCTCTTCCGTTTGATCGGCCTTTGGCAAATCTGGTTATTGCATCGGTAAATAGGGGCATCTCGCATGTTTTTTTTTTCTTTTTTGTGCCTAGTCACACGAAAGGTTCTGCCTTCTCATTTATAGAGAAAAAAATTGTGCCTTCACACAGGGGGGTTAAAGGGATTGAGCTTTATTGCAAGTAGGTATTGCATGTGTATTGTCATACATCTTTATCCATGTATGGTACATGCTAAGGTGTACATCGACGCGTATGCGTAACACCCTTGCAGGTGATGCCCTTGGTGATGATGTGCCGGTTAAAGATCAGTGTCGCAAAATCCGCAAGAGCGCGAAGGGGCGAAAAGGGTGTACCACTGACGCGGTGTATATATAGGAAAGAAAGGAAAACCACGTGAGGCGTAACGCACGACAAGGGCCCCCTATGCGGAACGTCCCCGAAAAGTAAAATAGAGCGAACGTATCATAACGTGAGGTAGTGTCAAAGGGAACACAGTAATTTGCTAGCCACCTCGCTCTTCTATCTGGCATGTACATCGAGGCACGGGGCAGAACCATTTTTTTGAGAAAAGCTACTCGGCTGTGCAGGATTCCCTTCACGGGATCTACCCTAACCGAAATACTGAACCCGCATGTGATGGGGCACTTAGAAGGACTGTACCCAAGGAGGCATTACACAACTTCACTCCAGCAGATTTACATTTCTCCCAATTTGTGTAACACCCCTTTTGTGCGCACATACATCAGAAGACTCTGTTCCAATTTCTCTTTAACATAAAGGTGTCAGCACTATGTCTGATCGCCCACTTTGTAAACAAAAAAAAAAAAAGGTGACCCTATTTATGCAAGGGGAAACTAATGTATGCCTGCAAAATGCGAAGACGTCGCTGTGAATTACACATACATATCCGTAAGGGTGTCCCTCGTTTGATCAAATTTGGTGCTCGTAATGTTTCCTTCTATGGGCGGATAACTATTACCATATTCCATGCCAATCTGCATTGCAGCCTGAATACCTTCCTGCAGTGATAACTCCCACGTGACACTCCGTTTGACCCCAAGCCAAGTCAACCCTCCCTACATGTGCCTCTTCTTGGACATTATGGCGTGACATATTATTCATCACTGATGTGTACGTTTCTGTGCAGTAAGTCTAACATACGCAGGCAGCGAAGTAAATAACGTGGCGTTCGAGGGGGAACAGGGCATGGAAAAAAAAAAAAAAAAACATAAACGAAGCGCAACGGAATGCAACTCATCCGATGGAGGTGCAACACAACGCAGCGAAATGGGAAGCGGATGCAAAACGCTGCGAAATGGAGAACGGATGCACATCGCGGACAGGGCGCACAACACACAGTGTGTTTGGATGTAAAATCATGAAATAACACAAAAAAAGCTGTTTTGCATCATTTTCTATTGTTCCAAGTGGAGGTCAAGGAGAAGTACTTGGCGAGTATGTCGTACGTCTTGTTGACGACGTAATACTCGGGAAAGAACTGCATCTGGAAGAGCTTAATGTCGCCCTGCACTTCCTTAAACATAAAAACATATGGATTCTCCCATAGGGACAAATCGCGTGTTTCATCATCGCCCTTATCTAAGATATTTTCAAGTCCTCTCAAAATGCTCTTACACAATTTGACACTTCCATTATTCATAGGATCTGACTCACTAACTAATTCTAACATATCTGCAATCAGTTGCATGCAAATGTTTTGTCCCAACCGGTTGGTCGTGGCAGTACAGGAAATAATATACCCAACCTGTTTTTGGTTGGCTTTGGACAAGCACGCGCAAACAGCATACGCCGCTTCAATTTTCGTGTTAAAGTCATTATCCGTTTGGAAGATATCTACCAGTAATGGGAAGACGTCATTTTTGATTAACAACTCCACCTCCGATGCTGTTTCGCATCCTATGTTCCCTAACGCGTTGCATGCGCGTGCACGTGCCCCAGGTTTGATTTTCATATTATTTAGTATCTTTTTCAACGCTTTAATGACATTGCATGAGATAAGGATACAGATCTGCTGGTGGTTAGCTGCGTAGGCTATTTTGGAGATGATGGACAAGGCTTCAAAGGCGAGATCCGGGTTAGCCGACTCACACAATATTACCGCGTTGTGCAGTATATCCGTCTTGAGTAAAACGTCTATACCTATCTGGTTTTCACAAATGGTAATACAGGTAGAGCTCGTCAGGAACAACACTCTTTCGTCATTCATTTTGATACAAGTGGATAAATAATTGGTGATAATTTCAAGTTCCCTTAAAAAGGACTTTTCATATATTTGGCATGTGGACACATAGAACATTTTTAACCCATACACAACTAGGGTGTAGCAAACACGCACTCCATTCAGATTAGGAATATTTTCTACTGCTTTTAGTAAAACTTCTACAATGCCCTTATTGTCTATTAGGTCATTTTTCAACTTTGTTATGTCGTATATCAGTATGGTCCTCAGCAGGGATATGATTAACTGCACAATTAATGGCGTGAAGACCTTTTCACACGATTTTTGACATATATTTTTTAGCATGTACACAGAACATGTGTACAGTTCATCTACCACATCTTGTTTGATTTTCTCGCCTGATCGGCAGCATCCAAAAATGATAATCAGTAGGGTTAATGCCTCCACGATAATTTCATCATTATGGAATATATAATTGTACAGCAAAGCTTTTATGATATTAATAATGTTCATTTCAAATATGTCACTCAGATTTATATCTATAACATTTTCCCTCGTTAGGCATTTGTCCAGCAGATCGAAGTACTCATCTACGTTGTTTATACTTTTATAGTTGGCAAAGATCATTGAGTTTAGGACCTTTAAATTGATTTGGTCATTCCCTGGGTAGCTGTTTAGCAGGTCATTACTGTGCTGGGCTTGGGCTTGTGTCTGCACATTACCACTGGGGCTGCTACTTCCAACAGCGCCAGGGCTGCAATTAGCGGCGATGCCACCGTTCCCGTTTATCCCATTACTTGGGTCATTTTTGGTGGAAAACATCCCAGCCGTGTCGCCATTATAATTGATGGCCATAAAATTACCGTAACCATTCTGCTGTGAATTGGCATTATTAGCAGTCCCCTCCGAATCGACATTGTCTACGTCATTTTTCTCCTGCGTATTTAACATCACACAACCCCTGTTCAACAAATTCTTCTTGTAGTCTGAATTATTTTTATACTTGTAATGTAATGAGGCATATACCAATCGAATTCCTTTTATTTTTTCCTCCACCTTTGTGCTCTCAAGGAGATTACTGACATTCTTTATAATGTCTGTGCTTATGGAAAATGAGTTTTCCATTTGGTTGACTAGTATGTCAATGGATTCATCATTTTTGTTTACCTGATTAAAGGCATCATTGTTTTGCCCCTGCCCATCATGTATAAAGCTATTGCTGCAGTTATTGCTGTTACTATTCTCGTTGCTAATCATGTTCACATTGCTCATGTTTTTATTTCCATTTAAAAAGAATGACATGTTTACAGAAGAGGGGTTGCTGAAATTTGGGTTATCCATTTTTAGGACATTTTACAAAGAGCTCATTTTCCGAGGGGGAGAGGGAAAAAAAAAGGAAAGGGGGCTTGCAAACCTATTGCTTCACTGTGGATATACTTAACGAATACACGCACATGTGCTTATAAGTATAAGCACAAGAAGGGGTAGGTAGGTACATGTGCACATGGGCACGTATATCTGTTTGCTTAAAAATATGCACCAAGGTACGCAATTTCGAATGTGTAAAGCGCATTTAACTAGGAAAAAAAAAGAAAGGAAACTATAACTGAAATGAGGTCAAATTGGAGGGGCGAGTAAGGGGAGTGGGGACGGGGTCAAACCCTGCGATGAACGCAAAAATGATAGTTAAGCAGAGAAGCGGCAAGGCAGTTACGCAAAAAAGCCGCTATGCAGTTAGGTAAAAGACGCCGCAGGCAGCTACGTAAGTTGGCGCATATGCTGATACATTGATAAATGCATGGAAAAAAAAACTCAGGGGCGAATCAAATCGGTCTCAAATATACCTTAGCGACAATGCAGCAAATGAAAGGCAGTGGAGCGCAAATTATCCCATGTGCGCACGCTTCACACATGTATGCACAGCATATGTGTAAGAAGGCACAGGTTGCTCAGGCGTCGAGCGTCTGGTCGTGCAGTGCGCGTTTTGCGGCAAATGCGTAAAATTACACAAGCGCGCGCGTACACGGAGTACAAACATGCGTATTATAAACGATGCTCACGAACGTACACATGGGAATGTGTACACGCAAGTGAATCAAATGCACGTTAAAATTCAGGCGTGCCACTTCCCCCCGATTTTACTTCTTCCTGTTTCGTATAATTATTTCATTCATTTAAAATGGGGACACAAATGTAAATCTGTACGCGAAGGAAAAGGAGGAGTCATATTTTTGCATTTCCCTTTCCTCTCACGTTCTGCATTCCTTCCTACCTGCCTACCAGTACGTTCACGCAAGTAATACAGACATAACACATACGGGCATACATAAACGCATATATATGTATATGTTTATATATAAATATACATACGTAGATACGCACGTAAATATATACAATGTAACTTACGCAAATGACGCAATTCAAAGTAGCCTTTGTGGAGGCGTACCAAAAGTTCAACTGCCCACGTTAATTTAAAAAAAAAGAAAAAAAAAGGAATAAATGGGGAAAATCAAATGATTCACGTTGATACAACTGTGGCAATTGCAAATGCGTGTACACGTACATACATAATATGCTACTTATATACGCTAATTTCGCAAACGACTTGAACGTACAAAAATATGGGAAATGAAATGACATTGCGAAGGAATGCATGACCCTCACATAGGCAACGTGTAGCAACGAAGGGGGTGCAGGGGGTAAACTGGGCGTAGGGGCAAAAATTCAACATATCGCAAAATACGGCATGGGGCAGCCATTGTCATGCGGCAAGGTACAGAGGGCGGAGTATGTCAAGCGCGCAGAGGAGAAAAAAATTGGGAATAGCTTCATAGGTACACGTTAATGTAAAAAAAGTGAGTGAACTTTTTTAGCGTGCGTCAGAATATCTTCATGAATGGACACGCGTCATAATACATAACACTTAGGGCACAATTGTGTATATAACAGGGAAGTTCCCAGAAGCCGGAAAAAATTACAGTTAAAAAAATTGCCTCCATCCTCCGTTGTTTACCGTCGTATTTTTGCCCAAAGTGACATGTTGTGGCTTTGCAGGGATGTACATTATGAATACATAATGACTTATATGCGTACGCTTACAGGCATGGTATGCATACTTATCAGTACAATGGGTATAACCCTCTATGTTACTAATTTCATTGCCGGCACGCCAGTTCGTAATTCCTGAAGGTGAAATGTAAAAAAAAATAATAAAATACGAAGGCCCCCAATGGAAAAAACCCCTTCTTTACTGTGAAGGCGAACGAGAGTTTGCGAGAATTGGAAAAATGTGAAAAATTAAGGAAAAGGTCCTAAAAGGGCACTTTTGTTTATCTTCCCGTATTCTTATATATGCAAATGGGCAAATGTTTGTAAATTTATTATCCCCTCCCAATTCTTTTTCCATGCGTATAAGAACAACCATAAAATGAAGGCGGACACATTTTTCATTTTTCGCGTCAATTAATGCTGGGCATACAAATTAAAAGGAAGGAGGAAAGACGCAAATGTCTGCATGAGGGATTATTTGCTACGAAGGTTACCCACCATATCCTTGTCATAAATGCGTGTGTATAAGAAGTTCCCATTTCCCTGTTGTTCATTGCGGCGACCCCTCTATATTCACCCTTAGATGAACCTATTCTGCCGCATTGTTAACATGTGATGCACTTGAACTTCATCTCAGTGGAAATTGTTTTTCATTTCGGATCTTTTAGGAGTGACAAAATGGAGCAAGTAGACGAGTATTTGCCTACTTCGTCATTTTAAGTGCCATAGGGAGCATAACACAGTTTGGTAAAGAAATCCAAAAATGGAATTAAAAAAAAAAAACTCTCGGGGAACTGCCTCCCATGGGGGCGTATTAATCTAAGGGGATTAGGTGACACGAACAAGAGGCCCTTTCTAAAACAATCCCTAAATGTTTTGCATAGCGCCCATTTTGGAATGTTCCTCTTGCAGTAGTCGATTCTTCTTCGCATTTTGGTGGGTGTTCCAAATGGTGAGCATATCCCAGGCGATGTATACAGAAAATTTTACAACCAATCAGGTGTGAAAGAGAAAAGAATTTACAGGTGGTGCACGTTTTTATCACTTTCATCATTTTTCCACGCCATGCCTATGGGAAAGTAGCAAAGTCAGGGTTCTGGAAAAAAGGCCCCCCTCCCCACCTTTAGCATTACATCAGGAGGGAACAAAATAAAGCGTCTATACAGTGTGCTGTGACGTTTGTGCGTTCATTTACGCTGCAACCGAAGGAGTGAAACATTTTGGCAAATTAGATAGTTCCTATTTAGGCAAAATGGAGACGCGTGAGGTGCACTCCTGTATGGTGATCATTGCGCTTGCCACATGGAAAATAGAAAAAATGGGGAAGAATAACCAACCTTTATTTCGTACGCACTACAAAGCTCAGTAAAAATCATTTGGGACGTACAAATTCCCCAAAATTAAGAATATGACAAGGTACAAAATTATCCTCAGGAGGTCATAAATTTGAAGGGATACAATTTGACTAAATCTGTTCTTCTTTGATTCCATATTTAATGTACTTCGTGCTTCTCGTTTTATTTTTCTCTCTAGGCCTTTTTTTTTATCAGTTTTGTTCCCCCCCAGATATACGCCCCTTCCGAAAGAGCACTGGGGAAAGCTCACACCTGGGGGGGGGGGCTAACACTATAGCCGTTCCCCCTCCATACAACTACAACACACACATTATTTTAAAAAGGGAGTTTTTTTTTTGTTTTTACTTAACAAAAATTAACAAAGTCGAGTAGTTTTTGTTCTCAAAATAAACATATTATGATATGAAAAAAAAATAACAAAGTATATTTGATTCAGTATGCATAAATATAAGCACCCACGGAAAGCGTGAAGCAGGGCCACGCGGAGTTAAAAATTGGGCATATACCGACATATATACACACACATACATAGGTGCGGTATACTTTGCAAAACAAATTTCACAATAAACAGCTCAGATGAATTAAAAATTTCATAAATAACGAAATACCTATAGGTAAAACATTATTATATTTGTCGGCGGGGGGGAAAAAAAAAAAGAAGGAACGAAGCAACGAATAGGAAAAAAAAAATATGTACGCCTATACACGCATGTACATACACACATAGGACACACATAAAATGGCACATATGTACATAGATATGCATATGTATGTATATGTGTATATATGTATGTATAATCCTAATAATCATTCAGGGCAGGCTTGCATTACGGCAGTATTCGTGTATATGTGTAGGTTATTTCCTTTTCTCCCCTGTCGGTTGGTGTGCAGAAAAATGTACATTGCTGCTCATTCCTTCATACAGAAAACTGGTGGAAAGGGCACCGGTTGGGAATCAAACGGGTGGGATTTTCCACTTTAAATTTAAAGGGGTACGACGGATAGGTTACACACGGACACATGTACTAAAATGTAAGCTCATGTGCGTCTCTGTGTGGGGGTACATATCCTCATGCACGCAAATGTGGGGAGACAACTTCCTGCGCACAGCAGCATCAACATTTGGGTAAACCGCTTTGCTCTGGTTTCCTCTCCAGTCAGATATTCACTACGTTTGCGTCGCCCAATAAAAGTTGGATAATTCGCTTAAAGCTATAATACATCGGTGACTGAGGATTGCCCTTTTATTTTTTTTTTTTTTATCTTCCCCTTTTCCCACTTCACAATCTTCTGATGCATTGGTTAAAATGACAGTCGGATGGTCTCTAATGTGCCACAGGGGTAACGATGACGTGCAAATCGGCCAGTGTACCAATGGATGGGTATTTCGCTCACGCGACATCATAGCCAGATGGGACCTCCCCCTCTGGAGGTGAAATTATTGGCAATCACGCCGGCGAAAACGAGCGAAGTGATGGCTGACAATTTAATTAAAATGTTTAGCGATGGTCCTGAGGTGTCCTTTAGAGGATCTCCAACGGTGTCTCCAATGACTGAGTTCTTGTGGGCACTGGATCCTTTGCAATGTTCTCTTCCTAGAGCACCCGACTCGATATACTTCTTTGCATTATCCCACGCGCCCCCCGAATTTGTAGACGAAAAGGCTAGCTGAATTCCGGATAAAATAATACCAACTAACAATCCAGCAGTGGCATATTTTCCCATCAGAGCACCAATGATTAGGGGCGAAAAAACGGAAATCAGGCCTGGAACAATCATTTGTCGTAGAGAAGCATCAGTTGATATTTTGATACATTTTTCATAATTAGGTTTCTGCTTATCCGCTAAGATTAAAGGAAATTGGGCTAGGCACTCATTCAAAACACTGTTCGCAGCTATAGCAACCGACTTCATCGTTAGGGCAGAGAATAAATATGGCAACATGGCTCCAATGAGTAGTCCTATAATGACCCATGGGTTTAGGATATTCACATGGCGTAAGTTGGCACTACTTGCGTATGCTCCAAACAATGCAAAGGCGACTAAGGCGGCGGATCCAATGGCGAAACCTTTACCAATTGCTGCTGTTGTATTTCCTGCTGCGTCAAGGATATCCGTTCTTGCTCTAACTTCTGATGGGAGACCAGCCATTTCGGCAATACCACCAGCATTATCTGATATAGGTCCATAAGCATCAATCGTTAGACAAATACACAGCGTACTTAACATACCTACGGCTGCTAAGGCTATGCCGTATATGTCACACAAACCATAGGAAACACCAAGGGTGGCACTTAAGCAAATTATTGGAATGAAGGTACTTTTATATCCTAAGGATAATCCATATATGATACCCGTCGCTGCTGATACCTTCTGTGTGTTGGCTATTTCTTGAACTGGGCTAAACGAGTATGAGGTGTAAAACTCGGTTGTAAATCCAATTATCAGTCCTGACCATAAGCCAACCAACGCTGGAACGATGATTTTCCATCTCTGAATTTCTGTCAACAAATTGTACTTAACCACAAGGGGGAGGGAAAAGTACCCAATTACGACTATAGCTATGGACTGCAATATGGTGGATACGAATAGTAAATATTTTAGGGTCTTTTCTACGTCTTTTTTTTGGACTACCTTGACTGCTCTTGTGACAATGAAAAAGGTTAGCATACTGACAATGATACTGGCACTGGAAAATGTTAATGGGTACATTATACAATGATTTATGTTAAAGTTGGTTTCTTCCTTTAAACTTAGTACAGATGATCCGATAACCAAAGCTGCACATAAACTTTCGGATAGAGATCCAAATAAATCTGCACCCATTCCTGCCATATCTCCAACATTATCTCCTACGTTATCTGCTATACAGGCTGGATTTCTTATATCATCTTCTGGAATACCATATTCATTTTTTCCTGACAAGTCGGCACCCACATCTGCTGCCTTGGTGTATATACCTCCTCCTACTCTTGAAAATAATGCTATAGAGGAGCCTCCCAAACCGAATCCAGCAATTGCCTTGTAAACGCTGGACTCCACTGCAACGCCTTTAAAAACGAAGGTCTTATAAACATATATAAGCAGTCCTAAGGCTATAATGCTAAACGATACTAGGGAAAATCCCATAACGGTACCTGCATTCAGGGTCACTTTGAATCCCCTATCCAAGCTTTTCCATGTCTCATTTGTCGTTCTTACATTGGCATATACTGCGATTTTCATACCTATGTAACCACACAATATGGACGTTAAGCAGCCCAACACGAAACTAATCGCTGTGTAGTAACTCACAAACAACGCCAGCAGACCGGAAAATACAATAATGAACACTATTAAATATTGGTATTCCTTTGTTAAGAACGCATTGGCTCCTTCTGCGATGTAGGATGCTATTTCCTTCATTTTATCTACCTGAACTAATCCGTCTTCCACGTAATCTACCTTATCTTCGGGCCCATTTATTTTGATCATGCTTACCCAGATGCACTCTATTATTGAGAAAATCAACCCCAACAGGGGCGGGAAAAGCAGAAGGAGGTAGCACAGATACATCTGCAGAGGGGGGGAGCGAGGTGAGAAAAAGGGGGTTCGGTTAGGGAGAAAAGCTAGTAAGCAGCGCTTACAGCGCCTCGCTTCGCGCAGGGCGCTCTACAGATGGAGGCTCTCGGTCAGTCGACTGCGCCTTGCACCTGGCGCCTATACGCTGAGTATACAAGCGCGTGCGCGGTGCACATGCGTACCGGGACGCAAAAAAAAAAAAAAAGAGCTACGCCACGACGGTACTACACAAATACGTAGTAGCCTTCTTCACCGGGTGCCAAAAAAAAAAAAAAAAACTGTTGCATATGAAGGTGCAAATTACATGCCCCTTTTTTTTTTTTTTTATTTCACAAAATGACACACTCAGCCGGTGTATATGTTGCAGTGTGCGAATAATGCAACGGAATAAAGAAATGTACTCCAAATTTCACGCTTTAAAAAACGTATACAAAAACAGAATTTTCCGCGAATGAGGGGAGAAAAAGGGCACTTTTGCCAGGTTCAACTGATTATTATTTTTTTTTTTTGATTCCTCATATTAGTACAGTTTAACGTAAAAATGAAGACATTCGTATAGGTTAACGATATGTCATTTTTGTGAGTTTTTTTTTTTACAGAAGAGTTAGTAACAGTTACTCGGCTTGGGATATACTCTGACGGTCAAAAATAGTTACACCGTATTGTAAAAAGGGGTAAACATTTGTGCCATGTAAATTAATGTATACAATACATTCACTGGCCCATCTCGTTAACTCTCTTTTTTTCGTTGATCGCGCAAATCTTTCCTTACCTTGGAAACAGCAAAATTCAATGATATTAGTTAAATTAGCATATTTTTATTTGTTTTTTAAAGCGGGTGAAAAAATAACAAAAACGATGTGAAGCTTTACTACTTTCGCCAAAATGTACATAATTTTTATACAATTCAAAATTGTAATTTGCAACAGTTAACATGTTTTCCCATTTATAATTTTTTTTTATATACGCATTTTATTTTATTGGATATATTTTTAAAAAATATTTTAATGGAATAACACGAAGTGTATTAATTTATACAAAACAAATTCCGTTCATTGTTATCAATACAAATTTTCACGCATAAATCCCCTGCAATGCAGTTCGTGCGTTGCAATCCGTGCGCATAGCACTTTTGAGCTTAATGCGCTTAACCTTTTTTACAAATGTACGTGAGTGGGGGTGTATAACTTCCTGCTTATATAAACACTGCTGCGTTGCGAAACCGTCATCTATTTTTTTTCTTTTTTTTTTACCCTTTACTCGAAAAATAGAAGAAAATTTTTTTACAAACGCTTTGCTTCGCGGCAACAGTTAAAAGGGTGGCAAGTTTACATCAGTCAACGAGCAAAGGAGCATACATATTTATATATATGTATACAGGTATATATGTACATATGCATATACGCATATAACTGTATGCGTATACATCTGCAGAAGTTATGATAGGTGTATAATAAACATATAATGTGATGGTACTGATCGGTACACGTGGTGAGCATGACATATGCACACGCTTGCCGCATTGGGAAAATAATATTTTGTGTGAAGGTTAAAGTGAATAATGGGAGGAAATAAATTACTACCTCTTTTTTTTTTTTTTCGTAATTCTAATAACCATAGATTTTATTTTTGTGTTATTTTATTTCCTATTCTGTATAGTTTAAGGGCAACGTTCTTGTTACTTCCCTGCATCTGAAAGTGACTTAACAGTACATAAGGCAGTAACAACCGCTGTTTTTTTAGGGGTTTCTTAAACCTTGGCACAGTTAAGTGGAGGATGTCCCTCACCAGCATAAAGGGGTTTTAGAGGCGTCAAAAAGTTTTAACAATACGTTTTTAAGTATGTTCGCATGAGTACTAATACACATAACCTGATCTACTTAAGGAGCAACCTAGTCATGATATGAGGTCACATACACCACAATAAAGAAATACCCTACGCGCGAAAAAGGTAACGTGGGATAAGGCTCACATGTAGAAAATTATAGCCATTCCTTTGTATATTGCTTTTTCTGAATTAGAGGAAATAAAAAATTTCAAATAAGCATATACCTTTTCCGAAGTGCCCCTCAATTAATAACCACGGAATGAGAAAAAAATATTATACACTCCCAAGAGTTACATTGTAAAGAAGTAAACAGTCACCTATAATTCATTACCCTTTGCTTGGTGGCAGAAAAAAAGAAAAATGTAAAACTAAGAAACTAAAAATTGCCATTCACTGTTTTTTACGCAAATATGCATATGTACATCATTCGAGGTAGTAAACTGCGTACAACTTACTATGAAGGGAAAAATAAAGCAAAATAAAAAAAGTAAAACAAATGAAGCGAAAAAAATAAAGTAAAATAAATAAAGTGAAATAAGATAAACAATAGTTGTAGGACTTCAATTTAAATTGCGCAAATTAATCATCCCGCTTAGGGAAGAATCGAACTGCTAAACGCTTTGCATTCCACACGGTTGACTGTAAAAAAGAACAATTGTTTAGGCGAACAGTGGCACACATAGAGCAGTAGGTCCGTGCGCGTTTCCATGATGTACATCCGAACATTTTTTTTTTAAAATAGCACGTAAAATAAATTGCAATTTCACCAGAAAGGATAACAATTTCGTTATATTCCCGATGCTGTGGGCTAATTTTATGTATCGACTTTGCGCATCATTTATTTTTCTTTTTATTATTCCAAATGGAAGAATAAAAAGTTTCACCTTAAAAAGGATCACTCCACTTTGTATGAAAATCCGCCATGTAAGAAAATTCATACAGCACTTATAAACACGTTTGTTTTGAGTAAAAGTTTGCTTCCTTTTTTCATTCCGATCAGCATGCAAAATTAGGAATTCATTTTGTTTACCCTAAAATGTGAAAGTTCACTGATTTAGCCCATATGCGCAAATACATGCTCGCATAACACACGCAAAGACATATTTATTTATACACATGTGTCCACATTGCATATACGCAGTTGCAAGCACATCACAAGAGTATGAAATTTTTGCTAAACAACCTTTTGAGGAAAATGCCGAAAAGTGTAGCCAAAGAAACGGTTAAGATGAAAAAAAACGGACAAGACTGAGGAGGCGCTTCTGCACACCGAAGTTTAGTGGCAACTGTCCTTAAAAAGATTTCTTTTTTTTCTTTTTTTTTTTTTTTTTCTCTCCGAATATTTTATATACCCCTTTTTCTTCTGTCTTTTCAGGCTAAAAATGTAACTGAAAATCTCCCCAGTTATATAAAAAAAAAAGATGAGAATTTTTTAATAAATCTTCGTGTTAAGCCTAATGCTAAGAACACGTCCATATGTAAGCATTACACAAAACATTGCTGCCGAAGGGAGTGCGCGTCCAGCTCAAAATTGCGATTACGAAGCTATATGGGTAACTCCTTAAGCATATACCTAAGTTTCACGCCGGTTTGTTTCTTTTCCGCGTTCCACCCCAGATTTTAACTCAGATAGAGAAGTGCTGAATATTAATATACAAGAGCAGCCAATAAACAACCAATCCAATGTTGCCATCATAGGTTACTTCTCCGACATCCGTAAGTGCAATATTGCGACGGTGTAGCATTCTGCGAAAAGCGCACACGCGGTTACACTGTTACGCGGTTTTAACTTTTTTTTTTCCCTGCGGCGCACACTTTCAGTGGATTTGAAAAAGAGAGACATATCCATCGTTTCGGGGCTAAAATCAAGGGACAAAGTAAGAGCGAAATCGCCTGAACAAGCGCCAAGTAAAGTGCCTGTCTTTACAGTTACTGTTCCGCTTATGTACATAAAAAACTCCCTCAATATCTTAGGTTTTAATGGTTTCAAATATTTCCCTCGATGACTTAAATAGCAAGATTGCCGAAAAGGTTGAGTGACATTAGAAGTCATTTTTTTTTTTTAACAACTGTGGAGTCAAATATCCGCAAAAATAAAACATCGCAATTAGCTTATGATACTATTGCTTTCTTTTATTTTTTTTTTTTTCTTTTTTTGTGCCTTTAAAATTTAACTCCTTTACTCACTTTTTCTTTTTTTTTGCACAAACAGTTGGACATATATGCTCAATCGTGTGCAACAAATTTGTAAGACGCAGACGAACGGCAAACATATCTCCACATGTAGAAGCCAAATAACTCCAACTGAAAAAATATCCTCTTTTAAAGGTCATATCAAGTGACAGAACAAAAAAAAATGGGACTTCCACCTTTGTGTAAATATAAATCATCTCAAAAGGATTAACCACACTCCGCGTAAACGCAATTACACGGGGAGCGCGTGGGTACAACTGTGCTGGAAAAGCAACAGCCGCTGATTTTCCTTTGAACAAATTGGCTGTCCCCAATCGATATACACTTAAACACGCACTACAAAGACAGCGTCAAACAAACGTTACAACTTTGTATGCATTCAAAAGTGCACATTTTAAAATGTGTGTTACGGTTTTTTTTTTCATAAATAATTCTGTAACTCTAAAAAAATATTAAGAAAAAAAAAAAAAAAAAGGATAGGTGTACATAAACACATAGTAATACTTCTCACGCCCCAAGCTTTAAAAAAAACATTATTATCATCATTTTTTTATGTAATCAGCAGGAAGTTCCCCCTAATTGGTACAACACAAACGGTATGCCTAACACGCGTAACATACATAACATGTGTAACATGCATAACACCTTTCTGCACGAACTCCGCGCAGGTTCAATTTCGCACTTCTCGCCGAGCTCATCGCTGAGTGAATTTTTTCTTTTTTTTACTACGTTACGCTATTCTTTAGATGGGGCTCTGCTCACTAGGTAATGAGAGCCTCATACTACAGAGCGCACATGTACAACTACACGCCGGTGCAAACGCACATACAGATATGAACAAAAATATATATACCCACACATACACACAAAAATGTATAAACATAAGCAAGGAGATACTTACACACAAAGAAATGGATTAAGAAGTGACCAAACTGGAGTAGAACTACTTATTCGTAATTCTCTTCTTCGCATTAGATATGATAGATTCTTGACTCTTGTACATTTCGTCCTTATCAGCGACTTTCTTCTTCCCATCATCGGGAACATTACTCTTATCCGTAACTTCCTGGTACTTGAGCATTATTTTAAATTCCCCTTTGAATAAAGAGCACCCTACTATTGCCAATATACAGGCAGGCACGAGGTACAACAAAGCAGGTTGTGCATGCTCGAAATAAAAGAGCATACAGTATGTCACTACCAACCCTATTTGGTAGCAAACCGAAATGGTGAAGAAATAATATTTCTTGAAGGCCTCATGAATTGATATGTCGTTAAACATTTTTTTGAAATTCCCTTTGTATATCTTATTTCTGTGTAGGTAATAGTCGAAACGTAGACACAGGGATATTACAATACCGGGGATGATGATGTCCCCTAACCCTAGCATGCTGTAATGTATTGGGTCTTTTGATACTGGGAAAAGGAGTTTTACGGGTGCTTCGAATGACTACGGGGGAGGGGAGGCAATTAATATAAGGTGTCGAGAGAGGCAAGAAGAATAGGCAATTGAGGTCAAGTCCACTACACCCCTGGGTGTATTCACACGGTTATAACGTGTAGTCCATCAGTTGGGCTAGAACAAATGAAGGGTTTATTTTTTTCTTCCTCACCTTCGCAACGGTCACCATAACGTCGTTTCCAAAAACCCAGAATATGTCATACACGAAGAGTCCGGACTGTTCGGAAGGGAGCGCAGAAGGAGAGGGGAAAAAAAGAACATAATTAAATGTATAAAAATGTTGGTGGGTGGGTAATATATTAATGTAGACAACTCTCTCCCCCCGACGCACGCATCGCGGTAACGACACGGGGGATTTGCAAAAAGGAGGACACTCTTTTATCCCTTCAAACGTACGAGTAGCAGGAATCCAATTAAAAAGTTGCTCAGGATGACTAGCGATATGGCCTTTAAAAGGGGAGAGAAAGAAAAAAAAAAAAAAAATTTTAAATATTCGTCTCCATGTGCACCACAAAATGGTAAATCCTTCAACAACAAAGTCAATTTCAGAACAGAAATATCTTACTTGGAAACAAAAGGACACGGCTAACACATTGTGGGTGATAAAGTCTTTATAAAAAATCCATCGCGCACCGATGAGGAAGCAAAACAGGAAGCTGATTATTTCTCCCTTGTTTGTGTTGAAAATGACGGGCTCTGAAAGGGCAAAAAGGTGACGTATGTGGGTGTGTGAATGTTTAATTTCTTCTACATAGGGAAAATAACGGGTGTTATTTCTGGTTTCTTTAGTAATTACCCTTCGAAATGAATGCCGGCAATTTAAACGTCTTAACATATTCGTCTTTTTTGAAAAATTTCGGCAAAGCGGGTTCCTAAAAAAGAGGAAAGCGGTCACACCCCGGGGCATATTTTAACGGTACAGTGACATTAGGCGTAAATCTGCCCTTAAAATGTGTCTCTATCAAATCGGGCATTTCCTCGCCCCAGATGTCACTCTTCCGCTCAGTGCATGTGATCTCTCATTTGGGGTATGTTCACCCTTTTGCAACGCATTTTTTAAAAAAAAATTTCCGAACACAAAAATGAGATGAAATGGAATAGAATGAAATGAAATAATTTCCCTCATCAACTTTGCCATATTGTGCACACCATTTGGTGTAACTGGACTCATCATCTTTTTCACTCCTATGTTTATTGTCCCTCTTGGGCACTTTATGTCCATTGAAAGAGCAACGGAGGATAAATTTCTCGTTCAGTGTGACGAATTCTCATATGGGTGGCATTTACATATGCACAAAAGAGTCCTTACCAAAATGTTGGCACAAACCCCTTGTAATGAGAAAACTCCTGCTAGGGTGAGGTAAACCGTCAGAAGCAAATTCACATAGTACGGGTCTAAAAACTTGTACGCAAAATACCTGTAGGGGAGACAAGGACAGGGGGGAGAAGAAAGAGCCATATTTACATCACCGCACTTTTTGCATTATCACTATGGTCGTGTAGCACTCCTCTTGGCATTGTTATGCCTGGCGCGGTGTCGCTTTTTTCCTCATTCGTTACAGCGTTAATAAGGCTCCAGAGCCGATAATGGGGAACATAATCGCATCGTAGGCTGTAATATTATCGGCCTTCTTATTTCTGTCCTCAACTTGCTGTAGTGGGAAGAAATAAAGTGGGATTAAACAGTGATGTGTGCACACCACATGGAAACTACGCTTCAATTATAAAATGAGCTCAATGGTTTGTGTCTTTCTGGTTGGTTTTCAAAATTTTCCACACCTTCACTATATGACGTACCTCTAATTGCTTCAAACTGTCATGGCTCCCGATATAGATCGTTATAAATGTGTACAAAAACATTTGAGCCATCAACGGGATCACAAAAAACTTCGAGAGCACGATCGTTAGGACTATTCAGGGTGAGGGGAGAAGAAAGAAATGACAAGGTGGGGAACTCACTAATATGTGCAACAAAATGGGGCTAAATCGTGCAGCCAAGTTTATCTCCCCATAGGAAATCTGCGTTGTCCTATTTCCACATACTAAGTTGGGGAACTTCTCAAATGCACACATTTGGCATAGACGTTACAAAAACAGCATGATGAACCCTCGAGCTGAGATAGCATTAGCGAAAATGTGCATAACTATGCTACATTTGCTAAAAGTGTTTTCCTGACTTACGTATTATAACATAGCTCGCATAATAAATTATGGAACATCCCATATTATCGTTCTTCATTTTTTTATTGTTCTTACTAATCAGCTTGAGCAAATTCATGTAGTCCAACGATGTTTTATATTTTCACAAAAAAAAATAATGTTTTCGTTTATTTTTGGCGCTTTTGCCAAAACTGCGAAGTTTGAATAATTCTTTGTATTTCTGCCTTCTGGCGCTTTTGCGTTTTAGGCCTTTTGCGTCTTGGCGCTTTTGGGTTTTAGGGCTTTTGCGTCTTGGCGCTTTTGTGTTTTAGGGCTTCTACGTTTTGTTGTTTTAGCCTTTTCGCACTTTGACCTTTTCGCGTTTACGTTTTCGTACTTTCGCGCTTTTGTGTTATCCCTTTTTTGCATTCGTTCGTCCGATCTTTGTTCGTTCGTTCGTCGTTTGTTCGCTTGTCATTCGTTGGCTTGTGATTCGTTGGCTTGTCATTCGTTCGCTTGTCATTCGTTCGCTTGTAATTCGTTTGCTTGTCGTTCGTTTGCTTGTCGTTCGTTCGCTTGTCATTCGCTTTTTTCTTTACCCTTTTTCTCGCCTTTGCGCCTTTTCTTTTTTTTTTCTCCTTTTAGCGTAGGCAATGTATCACTGTGACTGTGCTAAATTTCACAAAACGTTTGTCAATTTGCGGAATTACCTTTGACAATTTTTTTCACGCAAAAATGCTGGTGAGAAAAAATTCGCAATGGGGCATACCAAAACGTGTGACAGGCCGTGTGCACAAAAGTATATGCTCGTGTTAATGCGCACTGAGATGAATATTTCACAGCGTACGTATCCGTACGGTAGCTACGTTTTCGTAATACATTAACGAGGATACCAAACAGCGAATACACTTTTGAACTTGCCGAAGTTTTGCGCATCTTTTTTCACTGCCTACTTATTTGTACAACCTCTTCGCGCAGTGGTTAACTGTTCGCCCTTATTTCGGTCGATGAGTGTAGTTGATCTGCTCCCATGTAATTTTTGCTGCAGCGTATTTTATTTTTTTGTTTCTCTTTTTGGTGTACTCTGGTTATTTTATGTAACTTCTGTCATTTTGCCATTTTTGGTTGCCTCCTGTTATTTCCGCTTTTTTTTTTGTCAAACTTGGCAAAGCAGACCGGATAACTTCCAAAGTGACATGTTAAAAAATTGCCTAGGGAAAGGGAAAAAAAAAAAAAAAAGAAAACACGCATCTTTGCACAATATGCTCACACGCACACATGTATACGTACACATGACACCATTTCTGAGTTAACCCCACCCCCGGCTTTCCTTCTAGAGCTTCCAAAAATATGACAGTTTAAATATGGTGTTTCCTCCGCACGGGTGTGAACCGTATAGACATATTTTTTTTTCAACTTATGGCGCTCTTCTCATTTTCTGCTTACACTTTTGCCATTCATCAGGTTGTTCCTCATTCTTTTCCATCACGTTAAGTTGTTTTACATTTTTACACCGTCCCTATGTCTTCCCTTTTGAAATTACCTTAAGTACGTCGAATCAGCAAAACAGATAAGTAACATTTGTGCATTTGTCTTCATCTACCAATTTGCTAATTAAAAAAAATATTTGAAAATATTGTAGAAATTTTATTCCGCATTCGAGGAGAATTTCCCTCATCATAATTTGCTCTAACAAATAGCTATCAGCACTTTCTTTGTTGTAATTAAAATTTGTCTGTCCGTTTCGGGTTAATTCAGAGAGTGTTATTTGTCTTCTGACAGAGTGCCGCCTTTACGCAAAGTATTGGTCCCACGGCAGTTATTCATGTGACAGCTCCCGTTTTTGTCTTCCTATTTACAATTGAAAGACGAAGCGGCAGTGAACTCCACACGCGCATTTTCGATGAAAACCATTCTGCGAACTTCTTAAAATTGAAAAAAGAAAATTCGAAACAGAGTTTAACCCAGTTAAGTCAGTTCATTTATCAAATTCACTGTATTGGGCACCATTTTGACAGTGCGAAAGGTTCCACATTGTGCATGTGGATTATACGTATATGTATGGGAGAACACAGGTGGGAATAACAACCCCTATCGTGCTACTCCAACCCGGCAATTAAACTGCACCCTTGGAGAAATCACCACCATAGTGCATAAAAAGGAACACCATGGAAGTACCACGTTACTGCGAGCATAACTACATGGGAAATATCCCAATGGATGGGGACACCCATATAAATTCATCGCATAGAGAAAGTGCCAAATGCGATCTGGCATGTGAAAGAGCTATGGGTGAAGTTGCCTGGGGAGGTGCTTTCCAAAAGATGAAGCTGGTTGGAAGCCCCCCCAAAAGGGAACATTTAGAAATAGCACACATTTCGGCTCTTCAAACGGAGAAGATGCAGAATGAACGTTTAAACGAGGCAAATAATGAAATGAGAAGAGACCTACCCGATAATCGAAGTGATCACTGCCCCAACACTGCTGAGTACTACCACTACTGTAGAGGCTTAGAGACGGCTCATGAGAAAGAGGAAACACAAACTGTTATAGACATGCATCAGACGTTTTTGTTCTCTGGCAAAGGCACCTACCCAGGCAAGTTGCCCGAAAAAGATCAATCAACAGGTAGCCCAAATGGTCCAACTGGGAGAACGAACAAATATGAAGAGAGCTGTCAAATGAACCCAATGAAAAAATTGAGCAAAAAGTGTTTAATTGGTAACTGTCCAAAGGATGAACCTTCCGACTGTGAAAAAAGTACAGAATACAATTCGGCAAAAAATATTTTAAGCACATTTGAAAATGGTGTATATGTCGATTCGGAGCAGACCTTGCCACTGGAGGGTACTGACAGCGACGCGTATTTCACCAAAGAAGCGTTAAATAGTATGAGCTCTATAAGCTATCATCACTACGATTATCCTCCAAAGGGGGAGGACCCTGGACTAGTAAATAGTGGTACGCACATTTTTTGCGACAAAAGGGATCCGCTCACCCACGATAAAGAAAAACTGTTAATGCTCCAACAGAGGGGGAATAATGCACAGCGTTCGAATGAGTCGAGGATTCCTTGCACACGCAGACAGAACGCTGCAAGCATTTGGGGTCACAAAATTTCGAAAGAGCAACCACGAAATGAGAAGACTACTTATTACAATTACGAACTGAAGGGGGAAGCCTTAATGTGTGATGCCTTGAAGGGATATGAAAATAATGGGCCCAATGTGACAACCGTAAATATAAAGACAGATGTGAAGAAGCACCATCCTGTTAATAGCAGCTTAGCAGATTGCCCCAAAGGTGATTGGCTATGCCTGAATAAGGCAACCATGGGAAGCGCTGATATTAACAAAGATTTTCATCATCCTATGAATGACTCTGTTCTGTTTAATGGACAGGTGGTGCATGATGATGATTCCCACAAATTGGCCTCCATCTCGAACAAAATTATGACACGTAATTTGGCAGGGAACGAAGAAGGTAAGAACGATTCGTATATGACACTCGGAGCGTATACCCCGATGAACCAGTTTGAGAAGGCAAAAGAGGTCCAGCCAAACGGCTTCATCGATGCAAATTACAATACGTGCGCCCTGTCCAGATCGAACTTCTGCGAAGATCCTGTTGATCTGATTTCTGACAAGACATATTACTATAACAACAATGTGAATAGCACCTTTCTAAATGGTGCACCAAATGCATACGGAGTTAGACAAAGTAAAAGCTGCGTTCTTCATGCTGACAACTCGTGGAACCGTAGCACGCCCTCCTGCAAGAATGCCTCGTCACAAGAGATGGGATCTCCCAGTGTAACAACTCTGCCAAATCAACACACTACCCCCAAAACAGCCGCCTTTAATGGAGAAGACGAACATAATATGAGCCCAACTATGTTTACCAAAAAAATGAACCACGCAGGTGGAATTTTCCAAGGCAGCCCGAAACAGACGAGCGGGAAGAACTACCTTAGCACATTTGTACAAAACGACTACCAACTCGACGAAATAAGAAGCTGCATTCCAGAACGGCATTTATATGGGAACCAAAATTATAATGTGCCCCAAATTATTCAAGGGATAACGACAAAACAGAATAATGGAATTGTGTCCGAGTGTAATCAAGACACCATCATCGAATATAATGATAAATGGCGATTAGTGAAGGGAAAGGAATTCGCCATAAACCAGGTGGATAATTTTAAATCAGTAGAAGATTCGGCAACGTATTTTCAAAACTATTTAGCTGAACAGAACGAAAATACAAAAAGGATGCTTAGGAGAATTAATTTTAATTCCCTGACTGGAAAATTTAGCATAAATTCTTTACGTGATGATGATAGTGAAAATGGAAGGCAGCTCAGCAAAGTGTATGATTATAAAGATACGCTGCGCTCCTATCCCGCCTACTATGGCATATCCCAACATATGTACTCTGGCAGAAAGGAAGCTTCAAAATCTGTGGACGAAAAAAGCAGGGGAATTTTCCAAAATGATAATCGTACTGATTGTAAAAATGTGCATGAACAAACGCGGAAGAAAAAATCAGTTGGGAAAAAACCAAACCTTGCCTTATGTGGTGGCGGTGGTGATTATCAGGTAATCCATCGAATTCAAGATTTTGTGTCCCAAAAAATGAGCGATTACGTTAACGTAAGTTTGGTGTAAGCGGCCTGAGCAGTCCTAGCACATGTGGGGTTATTCCTTTTAAATGTTTCTATCATTCGCGTCTGCGTGTTATATGCGTGTAATGGCTTGTTTGGCCCTTTTTCAAATAGGGAAATTTTTAATTTTACTCAGTTTTGTTTTGTAGCCGTCTTTTTCATTTAACGCCTTTGTCTCTCTCATGGTTTATTCGTTAATTACGCGTCCTCAGTTACGCGAAGTGTTCACACTATGTGCGCATATAAAGACACACATATATGCGTGTAATGTATATAACACACGTGTGCAATTTTTCTCATTTGCTTTCCATTTGGGGAATTTAGAAGAAAAAAAAAAAAAAAAAAATGCTCGTTTTTAACACTTCCTCATACCAATTATGCCTTCAAAGGGGGAGGTAGAGTACTCCTTTTGCATATAAAGATATCACCCCTCCCCCCGCCGTATGTGTTTCATTTTTCTGCCACCTTATTGCACATTAACAAAAATAGACTAATCTCGCGAGTACACACATATCGGTAAACACGGCGAAAGGTCATTTTGGTAATTCCTCACATGTTACAAGTCGAAATGCGAGGTGTATGTCGCGCATGTACAAAAAAAGATGGCCTTCCAATTGATCTGACATGGGTGACAAACTAATGCACACTCGCCGATGCGCACTGGTGAACGCACTTTTTTTTCTCATTTTTTTCTTCCACCGTTCTATCCTTCAACCCGTCCGTCTCTTAGTTTTTATGCTCTACGCGGCGTACTTCTCAATGAGCTGCTTCAGCGCCGTGTCGTTGGCCCCTAGCAATGTTTCCACCGCACTTCCATTTTTGTACACCTTAAAGGTTGGCATGGAAGTTATGTTTTCCTTCTCCGTGATCTCCGACACCTCATCCACATCGACTTTTATGAACACCATCTTCGTGTACTTCTTTGAGCATTCTTCATAAAATGGTGCTATTCTTTTGCAGGGTCCACACCACTCAGCGAAAAAGTCCACAATGACTAGCTCGTTCTGAGAAAGTATTGCTTCGAAATCTGTGCCGAAGGGAAAAAATGGATGTGAAGAGATATGCCTCTCGTGGAGCGGCTCTACAAACGTACGTTCGCTCACAGGAGAGTTGCATCCACATGGGCAGGTCCATATATACACGCGCGCGTAATTTTCTCACCTGCTTGACTTCCAACAATCTTCACCATTTTCACGATAGCAGGCGGAGGAGGGGGGAAATATGAAGTAGAATCCAAGTGTATATATGTACGTCACTGAGGGAAAGTCACAATCCTGGTCAGGAAGAGCTTGGGAAAATGTGTCAATAATTTTACAGGTACTTTGGTACATATATGTTAACATGTAAAGGGATATGTAAATGCATCCGTATGGTACAGGATTATTGTTAAATTTTTTTTTCATGGAAGTTCTGCCATTGCATGTTTTTAATTTGGCTTTTTGCGCGAAAAAAAAATGCACTCATTTGTGTACGTGAATGTATACATATGTATGTACGTATTCACATGCACGTATTTATGTTATACCCTTTTGCTTTCGCGCATGCCTCCCCCTGTGCTGCAGAGAAATAAATTTTCTAAAGGAATAGCGGCGGAGAGGAAAGGGTACATCGCTTCACTTCGCATCGCATAGGATCACATCGCATAGGATATCACATCGCATAGGATATCACATCGCATAGGATATCACATCGCATAGGATCACATCGCATAGGATCACATCGCATAGGATATCACATCGCATAGGATCACATCGCATAGCATCACTTCGCTTCTGTTGTCTTCTCATCCGTTTTTATTATTTTTTTTTTTTTTCCATGTTGGCTTCTTCATTCGCTATAACTTTTGCTGCAAAGCCTTCTCCCGTGAGTCACCTTTTTTTATTTCACAAAGCTGGCCTGACGGTAAGGTCCCACAAAAGAGAGGCGAATCACCTTTGCGCGATTCAAAGGATAGCTTCAAAAATGAGGGGGAAAAAGAGGGGAAAAAACACCATCCGAAGGGGTACTTCTCATGCGTTTCTACCTGCGTAACGTTGCCTGAAAAGTGAACACACAAAAATGGCAAGGTGGGAGAAGCTTCCCCCCACGCGCGTAGCATGTATGTGTACGTAACAGTCCATACATAACAACCCATACGTAACAGTCTATTCGTACGTCCACGCCCGCCCCCCTTGCGCTGGAACATGTACACGTGGACGTACTTACGTACACACGTCTGTGCCTACGCATGCCCGTTGCAAGTGCGCGTGAAGGAATGACTGAGTGAATCTTCTGGGAAGAACTCCCGGCCTGTTAGAACCTCCCCAATACACATATGCCGAACTTGTTCCATTACGAGAAACCCATGCAACCAAGAGATGGTCCCTTTAAAGGAGCTGCTAAACCATGGAAGGTGCAATTCTGGAGGGAAAAATAAATCGAAAGGGGCACATGCATAAGGATATTTTTCCTTTGCACAGTGTCTTCCCAAATTTGTCTTAAAAACATTCCAGGGCAGCCCACAAGGGCTTTGTAACGTCACCCCCCCTCCAGCCTTCCTTCGGGCGTAAGCTCCTATGAAGCTCGGTAAAAATATGAGCCATGTTAATATAACACCTACGTGGAGGTATTAAAGAGATAAGGCTCCATTTCGGCTATGAAAAAATTTAGAGTGTTGATCCAGCGTAGCATTTTTCTCTTTTATCCCTCCCTTCCAAGACTGACTGAGTATTTTACGCTCAGTGAGGTGCACCCCTAATGTGTTTATTTTTGTTACCCAATTGGAACTTAGGTTTGTACCTTTCCAGATGGCGTGAGTTCAAATTGCTGGAAATTTGCAGCCAGGGAGATCCCGCTGTTTTATCCGCACCGGCAGATGGTCCGAAGAATGTGAGAGAAAGTAGCCCATTGTTTTGCGGTCCCTATTGAGAAGGCGTAGCCATGAAGATTCTCAACAGCTACACACACCCATAGGTTTATACCACTGAATCCAATAAGCAGCCTATTGTTTGCAAAAATAAGCATCAGGGCAGCTTGACAGAAAGGTGAGTACTGTCGTATCGTTCCATTTTTTCATCTGACTTTGATTTAAGTTTCCCCTTTTTTGGAAAAGAAGAAAAAAAAATATGCCTAATGAATATTTATTTATGAGTAAATGTGTCTTTCTCTTTTTTGTAAAGCGTCAGGAGGGGTAGAGGTAAATTATAATGACTGGAGTACTCTGAATTAAAAATGTGTTTAACTAGAGGAGATTTCTCTGGTGCTGAAAAATAAAAAAAAAAAAACGAGATGCACCTCCTGATACAGTGTTTCCTCTCTGAAGGGAACCCCCCCTAAAGCATTGCCCTCTTGAAATATGATCAAGGAACCACTTGCCCTCGTTCGACCATATCTCCCCCTTTACGCATAAGAATGTAGTGGCCTTATGCAGACGTAAATAATACTTGCGCTAAACAGTCACACATGCAGAGAAGGGGTACACTCACCTTCCCAATTAGCCTGCACACGCAGGTAGGCAGGAAGAGATGCATGTATGATGATAAGCAAGCAGGAAGACCGACAGATGCGCACACCCTGCACTCAAATTTGATGTTCGAACTTACTCATCGTAAAAAATAAAAAAAATAAAATGGGAAAAAAAAAAGGTTACTCACAGCAGCAGGGTCGCCTGCAAACCATGATCTGTTTGTGAAATATCTGCACGAGTCCCCCCCACACACACGGGGTGTGCGGAGCACCTGCATATATGTACACACGTAGAAGCACATTCATATGCACATGCATATATGCAGATTTGTGCTCACATGTGCGACATATAGAATGGAGTGAGCCCACTTGCGTGGAGGTGTGTGGGGAGGGAAAACACGTGCGCGTGGTTTCTCTGTCCGTTGGATCGTCTTCCTCGAAGGCGTCTTCACGCATCGTGGCCGCTTCACGGAACAACGCCAGGCACCTTCCACATAGGTAGACATGAACACAGGTTGGTGAGCAAGTAACCTAATGGGCGGATTCCTCGGCGCCGACGTGATCAATTCATGTCGATGCTACCAGGCAAAGGGGAAGCTACATATCAAATGATGCGAGTTCCTTGGAGGCCCCGTCAAAGGTGCCCTGCGAAATGTACTTCTTCTCATGAAGGTAATTCAAAATTTTAAGAAATTCTTGCGGGTACTTTGGAATATCCAGCATAATATCCTTAAGAGAGTTCATGACCTCCATGACTCCCCCCTCAACATTTTTTTCAGTGATTAAATTTCTGCTCATCAAATAATCGACCAATTTGAAAGACAAACTCAAGTCATTATTAATATCCACGTTCAATATAAACATCTTTTTAACGACATAATTGCACAAGTCATGATAGAGGGGCAGAAATTCATCTATGTATAAATAAAACTCTTGCTCATCCATGTAGGAATAAAAGTACTCCAATAAGGTGTTATTAATTTTTCTTTTCAATTTCATTTTTTCATAGGTATCATCTTCATCCCAGATGTGGTTAATATTGTTTAAGTTCAATTTTTTTTTATTATAAATTCGTTGTTGCGTTTTGTTGCAAATCATCATGCCAGTCATGCCACCAATGTGTAGTTTGTATATATCACTTAGGAAGGCTGGATAAAGTACATCATCATATATACATCTGAGCAGAAATTTACATACCATTTCCTTTGCTTGTGGAAAGTCAATTTCGTAGTCGTCAATGTAGCCTATAATTCTTATGAAGGCTATAATAATGTCATTTTTAAAATAGTATGTTCCGCATAAATTGTTCAGCAAGTAGGAGATGTACTTTCGGCATATATTATTTTTACTAAAGGATTCGATGATACTTATTCTTATGAACTCATAATGAAACAAACTGTTTGTGCTGTTTAAAAATTCGATGACCTCATTTGTGTCTCCATCGTTGAAGAAGTCTACTAGAAAGTCCCTTGATTTTTGCTTGAATTCTTTTTTTTCTTTCTGTATTTGCTTCATGTTTAGGTCCAGGACCCACAGCATGGTCTCCTTCCATATCTTATCCTTCACCTTCTTTTTCTCCTCTACATTTTCGAGGTTCTGCGCGTACATGTGATTCTCATCCAGATTGGTGGAGGGTACTCCATTTGTTTGTAGCGTGCCATTTGTTAACAGAGGGTCATTTGTTGATAGCCTTCCATTTGTCAATAGCGTGCCATTTGTGGAGACCACCCCGTTGGGGCAGCCCGCCTTATCCGCACCTTCCACCTCCTTCTGCGCGAGATCCGTATCCTTATCCACTGCGTGTTCACTCTCCTTGGAGTTATCGGAAGCCAGTTCCTTCTCATCCCAGCTGTCCAAATCCAACGTGTCAAAAAATCCAGTGGGCAATTTCAAAATGTAATCTTTATCCACCACATTGTCCAGTGTGCTAAACCTAACGTACTTTAAAAAAATCTCGTAACACAAAGGGCAATCCAGCTTAATGTCGTCCAAGCTTAGCAAAACTTTTTCAAACGCTCTATGCAGTTGTTCGGGGTTAATCAATTTGGTGATATTTAAAACATTTAGCAAACAGGACACATTAATTTGGCACTCATCGTCCTTATCGAAAGATTTTTTAATCAGCTGCAAAATTAAGAAGTCGTTATACTTTTTCACATTTAATTCCTTTAAATATTCGATAAACTCTTGAAAATTGTAGCTTACAAAAAAGTTGTTAATCAGCGTGTCGCATTTCTTTTCGAAATCTTCAAATGATAAAATGTTTATATCTTCGAACATTTTCGTTTTCATCTCGGATACCTTCTGTGAGTATTCTATCTCCTCCGCGTTGAGTACCGTGTAGAAGCAATTTTCATCTTCGATTTCGCTGTCGTATATGGGGTCATTCATGTCAACATACTTCTTCGTGAGGAACATTTGATCCTTCAGAAGGTTCACCTTCTTGCTCTTTCTCTTGCTGGACGACATCTTGCTGCGTCTTTTGTCTACGTGTGCCTATGTGATAAAGGTGCCTACAGTTGTGTTCACCACTGGGGGGGGAGAGACTCACAGGCTGCGCAATGAAAAATGAACGGCAGCCTTCTTGGGGATTCCCTCTGTGTGTAAATAAATTTCCGTATCCACGCGCACGTGTGTGTAAATAAGGCTCGTGTGTATCTCAGCGTTTTTGTGCAGGGTTAAAAAGGTTGGGGTCACGCGCAAGGGGGAAAACGAAAAGGTAAAGGAAAATGAGAAGAAAATGAGAACCAAATGAAAAGAAGATGAAAAGCAAATGAAAAGAAGATGAAAACCAAATGAAAAGAAAATAAAAACCAAATGAAAAGAAAATAAAAACCAAATGAAAAGAAAATAAAAACCAAATGAAAAAATGAAAACGAAAATTAACAAACTGGTCGCAAACACTTGTAGAAACTTTAAAAAATATATAAAAAGAAATTCCACCGTTTTAAAAAATATTTTCCACAGTAACAATGTGATAATTTTCCTCTTTTTTTTTTCTACATATAATTGCAAGTGGGTCACTGTGGAAAATTATTGTTTTTTCTTTTTAATTCTGTCAGCTGCTGTAACGTCGTACAGTTTGAGAATTATTACACTTAATTCTATTAATCTGGTGTGGGTCCGGCAGATACATACACCTAGCATATACATATGAAGGCCAAACAGATATGTATATACATGTGTAAGTTTGAACTTGATTTAAATCTTTAAATCATCGTTTTCCAGATGCTCACTTGTACATACATGCATGCGTATACAAACACCTATATGTAAATTTCGTTTGTCACTTTAATTTTGGGAATTTTTTTTTTTTTTTTTTTTTTGTTTTTTGGGAAAACATGAAAAGCCATAAGTTTTTTTTAATGGTAATGAACATTTCTGACATTACAACTTGCTTCCTTTGGAAGCACATAAAAATTATTAAGGCAGGTGGGGGGTAATATTATACAAACTGGATTCAACAAGTTACATCATACCTTTTACGCTTCTTAACTATCTATATATCGTTCTTCTGCTGTTTATGGAAAAATGAAATGCGGGAAAGGCGCTAAATAAGCTTGGGAGATTATCTTTATCTCCTAAGGAGGCTTTACTACTAAGGCTGTGGGTAGAAGGCGTGGCCTCGTGCGTGTTTTGCAATACAATGTTAATATGCTACATAGAAGGGGGAAAAAGCCTTTCTGTCGCTGTGCTCGAAAAAGAGTTCATTTAACATAGTACATTCTTACGAAACAGATGTGACAGAAAAATGGAAGCCAAAACTTGTCAGCCAAATTAAAACTATGGAGGGATGGATTCTTTTTTACTAAAGTGGTGCTACAATTTAGTTCATACGTGCCTGTAATATATATATTTTCTCTTACTGTGTACTTCTCGTGCCTCTTTTTTTCAGGATCCCCCAAGCGTCAATTCGCTGGAAGCCCATCAAGCCGACCAGGCAAACACGCGAACACGCAGACGTACGTAGGTTTGTACGTGCATAGATTAGGCGCACATAGCTTTCGCTGCATTGTTCTGTATTTGCACCGCCTTTTCAGTCCCCATTTTTCTGGCGCTGCATATCGTAGCTGATAAGATATTTTTCTCCTTAGATAAAAAAAAAAAAAAAAAAAAAAAGCAGTAATATAAGCAAGAAAGCTCCAGTAGTAATATAAGCAAGAAAGCTCCAATTTATAGAT